ATAATTGAATGAGGTGAAACTAGTTCCTCATTAATGCCAAAGAAAATGTTATGTCATTGAATATTGAACGAGATCTTTTTTTAGTGGTTTGAAATATATACTCAATTTTAATTTAATACCAAGTAATATGAAAATAAAATGGAGAATAATTAGAGTGAAACTTGCAACACATTCATAATAAAATTGCATGAATATTTTAATATGAGATTGGAGTGAAGAAAGAAAAAAAGAAACGAAAAAAAAATTGAGAATTACACAGATAGAATAAGAGTAGTGCTTATTGAAAGTGGGTCCGTGCCATCAACACGGTGAACTAACAAAAGGTCAATGACAAACAAGTGACAAAAGCATAATATGACTTGCGAAATTGCGGTTAAGGGGAGATTTATGGTTTTGGGGGAAATTTTAATAACTATATACACCAGCAACTAAAATTAAAATTCCAAATTCGTGAAAAAATTATAGGGGAAAAAATAATTCACCTTTAGTGAAATTTGCACTAAATAGTACTAAAACATACTCCCTCCGTCCCATGAAACCTTTCCCCTTTCTTTTTTTATCTGTCCCACAAAACATTTCTCATTTCTATTAAAAAGTCACTTTTACCCCTTACTTTTTCATACCCTAACTATCACATCATACTTTTTTACTAATAATCTATCCATCAAATCATACTTTTACACATCACATCAAAGGACATTTTTGGAAATTCAATACCAAAATACACTCCCTTAAATTCCCCCTAAAACGCAAAAGTCCCATGTTTCATGGGACGGAGGGAGTATGTAGTTTCCCAATGTAGTACTTAAACTCTTTTATTCCCTAAATAGTACTTGAATAATGACTAGTGACGGGAACAATGTCCAGTTATGGTGGACGTTTAGTTTGAAGAATGTCCAGTGACGGGGGACATTTACTTGAACAATGAATAGTGGTACTACATTGGCAAATACACACATATGGTACTACATTGGGAAAGTCACTATGTTTTAATATTATTTAAGTAAATTCTCCTCACCTTTATTTGTTGGTCAAATGGGGGGATCAGGTGGGTCAAATGGAAGGGGCATATTCAATGGAATCGATTTCTCCAATTCCAATTTATTTTTTGACACTACCAATTCCAAATTCACATATTTTTGTGTTACCAAACAGTAAAATCAGAATGGTTATCCTTAATTCTAGTTGCATAGTTTGAATTTCGTATACCAAACGGAGTAAAATTGCATGAATATTTTAATACTCTCTCTGTCTTATAAAACCTTTCCTTTTTGGAAAAAAAGTGAACCCTTAAAATGAGTAATTTTGGAGTTATTTTATAATTTTGCTCTTACTTTATAATAGTGTAGGATGGTATGTGTAGTATAAATGAGTCATAATTAGGAAATAACATTAAAATTACTCATTTTAAAGGTGCGTCTTTTTCCAAATGGAATGGAAGAAGTATGAGATTGGAGTGAGGGAAAAAAATTAAGAATTACAGGGAAAGAACAGGTTAAGGGGAGATTTATAATTTTGAGGGAAAAATTACTCCATCCGTCCCTATTTTGATTACAAAATGGGAATTACAATGTAAAATCCCACAATTTTGAAATTATTTTATTTACAAATTGGTACATCAATAAGAAATAAAAAAATTATATATTAAAAAACTACGTCCAAAGTTTTACAAAACAAGAGGCAGCAAGAATATTTTATTTTATCAAATAATAAAACACACAAAAGTTAGAAAATAAAATTGTAATCAAAATGGGCACAGAAAAAGTAATAACTATATAAGAGCAATTAAAATTCCCAATTCCTTAAAAAACCTAGCCTGGCTCTGGTTTCTGTTTACGCTGACAAACACTGAGTTCAATTTCAAAAAAAAAAGGATGAGCCCCATCCCGAGAGCCCTCGGACCGCGCCGGACGGTTACTGAGAACTGGGTTCAGTTTCAAAAATTACCATAGATTTGAGAGATCCTGACAGATTTATACCCATAAAAAGAAAAAAATATTATACTACCATACTATCAACAGAAGAGAGTACTTAGATCTATGCATCTAAAACAGAAATAAATAAATAAAATAAATAAATAGAGAAAGAAAGATGGGGGAACCACCGAATAGGGATCGCGAATTACATACCTCTTCTTCGTTCATTGACAGTCTCATGCACAGTCTCTTTCTCTTCTTTCTTTCCTTCCTAATTTTGATGATCTGATGATTTGCAGATTCATGGCGATGATCTTTTCGTTTTTTCTTTGGATCTTTTCTTCTCTTTTAATGCGAATGTTTTTGGGGTGGGTGGACGTTTGGTGGGGGGAGATGTTATTGCGTGCAATAAAGGCTCCCCATCCTTTTTATATCCCAAACTCTTCACTATTCCTAGTAAAATGCCTCTAAATTCACTCCCCCCTCCCCTTTTACTTTTTCTTTTCTTTTTAAAGCCAGTTTTTAATGTTTAAATTCTTAACTTTAAGTTTTTTTAAATTTCTTCCATATTTTACCAGTTTTTTCTAGTTTCTTCCAGTTTGGGTACCTACGGTGTTCTGTTTGTAAAAACGACGGTTCTACTGCCAGGGTAGGGAGGGGCGGCGGGAGGGGGGCTGGGGTGGGGGAGCAAGGGTGAGGCTGGGGTGGAGGGTTTAGGGGGAGGGTTAGGGGGTAGAACCGTTGTTTTTACAAACGAAGCACCGTAAATACCCCAAACGAACTGGTGTAAGCAACTGGTTTATATGTGTGTGTGTGTGTGTGTTTGATTACATTATGTGATATGTCTGATATTTAAAACAAAATCTTATAACATATAAAGTATAATTGCAAATTTATTACTCCCTCCGTCCTAAAACTTTCTTCCCGGTTCGCAAAACGAAGAAAAATCCCAAATTTTTTCAATCTATTTTATTTAAATATTGGTATAGAAATAAAAAATAAAACATACATATTTAAAAACTACATCAAAAGTTCAACAAAACAAATGGTGACAAGAATATTTTATTTTATCATATAGGCCATGAAAAAACACAAATAAATATAAATTCCCATGAAGTTGGAATAGTGCTCTGAGAATAAAGTTTTAGGACGGAGGGAGTATTTGTAATAAATACTGCATAAATAAATTGAGGTGCAACGTAACCACAATAATTTTGTAAAATTTAACATTTTGATATTTATGCTAACTTTATATTACAATTATTTTTTTTGAAAAATAGTTTTTTTGTATATGAAATATAAAAATACTTTTTTAATCTTAATGACATTCATTAAGATAATGTGATGATGATAATAATAATAATAATAACATTTATTATTATTATTATTATTATTATTTATAACAACAACAATTAGAATGAGAATAATATAAAAATATACTAAAATAATTTTTTAAATTTTTTTAAGTTTTCTAATTTTTTGAAGTTTTTCTAGTTCTTCTAGTTTCATCTAGTTCCTTCCAGTTTCTTACAGTTCCTTTCACTTTTTTCCAGTTCTTTCCAGTTTCTTCCAGTTCTTTATAGTTTCTTTCATTTTCTTTCCACATTCAACTTTTTTTCAGTACTAACTCTTAGTATCAAAGCTTAAAAAAATACACATATTACCGACTTTACATCACGGGTGCTCTTTACCCACTTTACGCCCCCCATTGTGCATGTCCTTCCTCCAAAATTTAAATACTCGCTCCGTCCAAAAATGTTTTTTTCAATTACTATTCACACGTTCAAACTTTAATCATTTTTTACCTAATTTTGTTAGTTATTTGATAGAATAATATACTCTTATCACCTCTGGTTTTGTAGAAATTTTTATGTCATTTTTAAATATATTAATTTAATTTTTTAATTTTACACATATAATCAAATAAATTTAATTGAAAATAGAATGAGTCAAACCTCATAAACAGAAATAGGAAAAACATTTTAGGACAGAGGGAATACTATATAAATTTTTTCTTTTATTTCTATCACAGTTTGAAAACAAAATCATTTTAAAAGTCGCGTATAATACGAATAACTTTTTTAAAATAAGTCTTATTATATGTTTTATACGCTCGTGTATTAATAGAATTACACCATAAAGTTCTAAAATTTCAACAAACACTACGATTTATTGTTTATTCATTTTTTTCATGTGTATCCAAAGACAATCTTTCAATTTATTTTTATTCTGTACTTCCATAAAATGTATTCAAAGTAAAAACATATTCTTAAAAATGAAGCTAACATTTAGACACGAATAAAGCATTAGAGACATGACAAAAATTATATTATTAGCCAATTTATGTTTTATTAAAGTGATTAAATGCACATTATGAATTTTAAAGGATGAGTTAAGTCTCTTTATAACTTAAATATGAACTCACTAAATAATATTTTACACTATATAAAGTTGAGTGAAATTAAATTTATATTTTTTATTTTTTAGAATGAAAAATATAGTTACGAACTTAGCTTTTTAGAATTCAGATCATGCAAATGAAATCAAATTTTTATTTTAAAACGTGGATAGATATTTAATCTTAAGAACTAAATACAAAAATTTGATTACACTTTAAAAATCTAAACAAATAGAAAAAATATTATTGTGTACTATTTGCTAGAGCGAGTGCAGTGTTGGACTTCAAGTCCGATGAAGTCAAAGAGAATGGTAGAGTGAGGAGGTGACATTTAATTAACAAAGGATGTTGGTAGATGACTTGAACTACGATCTGACTTTTAATACTTTTACAATTGTTGAGTCACCAAATTTTAAAGATTTAGTATGTTTTTGCAGAAAGACAATCAAGAAATTGTTCTCATCTGAATTTTGTGATATAATACATATAAAATCCATAAATACGTTTGGGGTCTGGTAAAAAATATGTGTATTATACGTTCGTCACATTAAGAACACATTTTTTAAAAAAAGAGCATATGCTAGAAATGTTTTTGAAAAACAAATTTTACAAGTCACATGTTCTTTTTCTTAATATTCTGTAAAAAAAGTGAGAAAATATAAAATTTTTATTTTGCACATTCAAAAAGAAATCTGTAAGCTTCATTTTGGGAGACACAAAGATTAAATTGAAATGCCAAAAACTAATTCTAACTTATTTCCCCCTCAATTCACATCTTCATACCCAGCTTTGAGTATAAGCTCGAAATTTAAGCTTTTCTGAAAAGACAATTCTAAAGTAGAGCTTTTTGGGACTGCTGATTCAATAAAAAGCAATGGCAAACAATAATGAAGCAATATATGAAAGAAACTCTACTAAGTAAATAGAGACAATTAATGTCAAAATCTCAAGCAGAAGCTAAAGTACATAGCTCATATGAAATAAATAAAAACACATAACATTATAGAAAAGCTAAACAGGCAAATTTTAAAAGCAATCCTGCCTTACATTGTATGAACATAAGACAGAAACTCTAAAAACATGAGGGAATTCAACAACTTACACAAATGAGGTTTGAGTTCATTCCTCTTCCTCTTTCTTCTTTTTCTTCTTCTCTTTCTTCTTCTCGCTTCTACTTGCGTCTTCTCCATCAGCATCCGACTTGCCATTTTCAGCATCTTTGTCTTTCTTCTCTTTCTTCTTCTTTTTCTCGGACTTGTCGGCATCTGGGGATGCGACTTCATCTTTTACTTTGACTTTCTCTTCATCTTCATTGCCTTCTTTTGCCTTCTTCTTTTTCTTCTCTTTCTTCTCACTCTTGACTTCATCTGCCTTTTCTTCTTCCTCTTCTTTCGCAACCTTTGGTTTCTTGGCAGCATTTTGGGAGGCAGGGATGTCGCTGTCCATTTCATCCAATTTACGCTTGTGCCCCTCCGTGTCCTCCTCTTCACCTTCCTTGTGGTGCTTCTTCTTCTTTTTCTTCTCTTTCTTCTCAGCCTCAACCACCGTTGCACTCTCCAGCAAAGCCGGTTCGGAAGGAGCAGCAGCCATTCCGGCAATCATGGAGTCCCCTCCGGTGGGCAGAACGAGATTCCTCATCCATTCTGCTGGAGTGTTCTCGTTTGGTTTCCCATGCTTGCTCAGCTTCCCTTCAGAAATCAGTTTCTTCTTCATTGAAGCCCTCGGTCCCAACCCCCATTTCCTAGGGTATGTGTCCCTATCCATCACCACCCTCTTAATCTTTGCAACCACCCCATGATCACAAGTAGCCATTACAGCCGTAGTCATCTCTGCAATCCCCAAAGCTATGGCTTCTCCCTTGGTTGTCATCAACACCACCTCCTCTCCCGCCTCAATATCATTCTCAAACCTCAACAGTCCGGGAATCATCAGCTTTGCACCATAACAGATGGCATTCACGGCAGAGTCCTTCACCACTAACCTCTTGTAACTGGTGAGAATCACTTCCAGGGGCATAATCACCCTCCTCAGATAAGTCTCGTCACGATAGTTGTCATAAACCCACTGCGCATCCATGATATCATGCATAGTGACCATGTTATCCTTCTCGCCAGAAATCCCAGACCGAACCCTGCGCAGCTCCTGCATATGCCCTCCGACTCCCAAGAGCAATCCAAGGTGGACACACATGGTTCTCACATAGGTTCCTGCCTCACAGGAGATCCAGAACACAACCAAGTGCTTCTCGGCATCATACTCCAACAGCTTGCTCTCATAGATTGTCCTAATCCTAAGCTGTCTTTTGACGGCCGAGATCAGTGGGGGCCGCTGGAAAACGGCGCCGGTTAGGGTTTCAAGAGCCCTGGCCACCTTGGCGACATCGGGAACAGCAGAGTGCAATCGGGCTACACAGACATACTCCTTTCCAGCACCCTGCTGAGATTTCACGAGCCGAGTGGCCCGATCTATACAGACAATCAAATTCCCAGTGACTTTCGGGTCTAAGGTTCCGCTGTGACCCGTTTTCTCGACCCGGAGGATTCTCTTAATCCAAGCCACGACTTCATGGGAGGAGGGATTAGAAGGCTTATCTAGATTAAGAACACCATACCTGATATACTCGGCGAGCGGCCGCTTGAGCGGGGAGTAACCGGAGGGAAGAGGAGTGTAGTGTCCGGTCCGTACATTGAGGCGGTCATAGTTCTTCAGAAGAATTGGCCACTGAGAAGTGTCGATGGAGGGGGTGAAGCTCTGCGGCTTGATGAGATAGTCTCCATCGGCCTGGCTGGCGTCGGCTGCGTTGCCTCCTAGAGCTTCGATTCCTTCTTTGGACTTGCTCTTCTTCTTCTTCTTCTCGGAACGGTAGAGCTCTACGTCAGTCATGGCTGCGGCTGAAGGTAAGGTGGTGCTGGATACCCTAGGGTTCGATGGCCGGAGGGGAAGGAGGAGGTGTTGAAAATGGGAAGGGGGGGCTAGGGTTTAAGGACTTCACATTTGTGAGGTTTTCTGTGTGGGGTTTGTAGATTGTGGGCTTTGTTTGCTGCCCTAGAGAGAAGCGGCCCATAAACGTTGGACTATAAAAAGATTAAAGAAAAATTATCTCAAATAATCTCATTTTTAGTGTTCTTTCAAAAATAATCCTACTTTTCACTCTCACCAGAAATAATCTCACCTTCCCGCATGTATGCGAATTTTGGGTCGCCGTTAAAAAACTAACGGTCATTTAACGGAAAATTTGAAAAATGCCCATTTTTCGCAAATAAATGAAAGGTGGGATTATTTTAGGTAAATTCTCCTTTTTCATTTTTTAATTTATTTAAATGTATTTTTTATTTATTTTTTTGGAAAAATACCAAGTTTAAGTATTTTTAGAGTGAAACTAATTGTTTTTTTTCAATAACCAATAATATGGTAATAATTAGAAAATAAATTATTCTACACAATAGAGCTAATTTATTAACTTCATAACTAACTACTCCCTCCGTTTGGAAAAAGTGTTCCTCTTTTGACTTTGTGTAAAAATAAGGAAGTATTAAATTGTAGTTGACTTCCAATTTTGTCCTTGATGTGATAGATAAAGTAAGATGTGATGGATAGATTATTAGAGATAAAGGTTTTGTTTGGTAACAGCGTTTTCGATTAGGGTTAGCGTTTTAGATAAAATTTTAACGGTACAAATTAATTCTGAAAACGCTAACGCTAAAGGCTATCGTCGGATAGCTTTTTCAAAACGCTAACGCTAATCTCTGACGCTAATGCCAAACGGGGTCAAAGTATGATGTGATAGGTAGGGTATGAAAAAGTAAGGATAAAAGTGGTTTTTTAATAGAAAGTGGAAGTATTTTGTTGGAAGGGAAAAAAATGAAAGAGAAAGTGTTTTTGATAACGGAGGGAGTACATTTTTTTGTAAGTTGCATTTACTGTATTTTTCTTGAGCTGCACTTCAAATTATTTTTTGATACTACATTATTATTATTTCTTTAAAAAATGGCACTACAAAACTTATGAATATTTTTCGATAGTTCTATATAAATATGTTTTGTGAAACAACATTACAATAGTTGTGAAAATAACAAAACAATTTTTTTCTCTAAAATAAAACTTTTATTTTTATAACTCGCTACATTTTCTGATGTATTGCAATTTTTCTATGAACACTCTGAAATTTTTATTGATAATCTTATATTGCAATAAAATTTTCTTTCTAAAATGGAACTACCCAATTTGTGTTTTTTTTAATAATTCAATACAAATTTTTCCCCAAAATAGTAATTCAAAAGTTGTGAAAATGACACAATATTTTTTTCTCCGAAACGGAACCCATAAATTTTATAAATCACTACAAAATTTGTTAATCGTTAGACAAATCTCTAACAAGAGTGTATTGTTATATTTTTAAAAATATTAATTTTAAATTCAAAACTAAAAAGGTAAAAAGTAATTTTTCTAAAATAATCTCACCTTTCATTTATTTGCAAAAAACAGGCATTTTCAAAAACTTCCGTTAAGTGGCCGTTAGTTTTTTAACGGTGACCCAAAACTCGCACACATGCGAAAAGGTGGGATTATTTCCGGTGACAGTGAAAAAGGGGATTATTTTTGAAAGAGCGCGAAAAGGTGGGATTATTTGAGATAATTTTTCCAAAGATTAATCATCCATTCCCAATTTCTAAAATTTTGCGTTTTTAAAATCTAAAACCCCAATACGGCGATAAATGGATATCGAAAATTCGATTATCGTCCGCATCCGTATCCGTTTGTACGGAAAATACTGTTAAAAGCGGTTATTATCTGTATCCTATTAAGGATATCTGATTGGTAAACGGATACGAATTTGGTAATCATACATTTGATCCGTTTATAACCTGCTCTGCATAGACATCCGTTCAAGTAACCGTTTATTCGTATATGTGATCTGTTATATATAATATTTCTTTTTTTTTGTTTTTCGTATATGTCTTTTTAACATGTGGAGTTATCGTAGAATATTATAAATTATAAAAAATAAGAAAAATTACTCCGCAACAAAAAACAATTGAATAAATAATATTTTGAATTTAATTTAATTGGAAATTAAAATATTTTTCAATTTAACTTAAAAAATTGGAAACGGATATATCTGACCGATATCCGACGAATGCAGATATAATTTTGATTTTTAGTATCCGTTAATATCCGTATCCGAATTCAATATTCGATAAAAATAAACGGATACAGATCTGGTAATGACACATCTGATCCGATTAACATCTGTTTACACTCCAAAACCCCAATTTCAATTTTGTTACAAATTATTAACTACCTCACTCGTTAACTCAAATAATTACTTCATGAAGAAAAAATAAGTTTGATTTTTTTTAAATAATGTAAATTATATTCACTGAAAAACATCAATTTTAAATCTCATTGAAGGTCTCCCTCAAGGGACTTGTGGAGGTGCACTAGATGATTGTGGTTGTAGACAACTTTACTATGTGCATCGAGTCCATCCTATATGGGTCTTGATATCGCTTGAAATCAAAATCATTTTGTACATGTCTAGAGAGTTTGATATCTCGTGATCTTTTCAAATGAGATTAACTTTGATATCTCCTAACAACCCTTTCAAATGATAATGTTTTGATATCTCGTAAATTTGGAAGATATCAATCTAGGGTTTGATATCTTTTTCAGCAACTGACCACCTCCTTCATTGGCCACCACTAGCGTCGATCGCCCGCCACTGACCATCCACTATTATCAGCCACCGTTTATCATTAATAAACATTTCATGACATCTCTTCAAACACTTCCATTTCAAATTTCAGAACTCATGTCATTTCTTTCAGATTTCAAAACACATGCATATTTTATCAACTTTTAAAAAAACTAAACAAATAAGTCTTTCGTGAATTTTGCAGAAGTTGGGAGTACACAATAAGGCTTTCGTTGTGTGCCTATATGTGAATAGACGGGTGGAGAATACAAATCAAACCAAAATCGATGGAATAAATAATAAGCTCTTTGTCGCAGGAGGTGAGTGAGTAAACGAACTGCCTTGAACTTTGTGGACCTACCGGATGAATCCATGCAAAGCCACAAAAAAACTCACCTTTTCGAGCTCACATATGGATTCGAGGCAAGAACTATTGGGGTACTTGTTATTTTATGTAATTAATTGTATTTAGGCTCGTAGTTTATGTTGGGCCTTTGGCGAGTTATGCATAAACTTGACCTTGTGCATGATAAAAGGTTGAGAAGTTATTTTCCAAAATTCTACATGGTATCAGAGCATTCCTAAGGAGTCATAACCCTATGATTGTTGTTTCGGTTCGCTTGTCCACCCATTGTGCTCATCAGAAATAGCTTGTCCAGCTACCATTGATTGTCTAATGTCCGGTCAAGGACCTTCTTCGTCCTACCATTTTCAAGTAGCCACGTTCATTGCCTTAAGTACTGTCGTTGTCCATCATGTCGGTGAAAAAGACTCATCTCGTCCACGATCCATCCACAGTGTATTATCTTCTTCCATCTGAAGGTCATGGTAATTCTTTAACCAAGTATATGCTTCGTATTGATAATTATGATGTTTGGGAAAAAATCATTCGACATGCTGTGTTAGGCTGTGGTAAGGCCAAAATTTTAACATCTAGGGGAATGCCCGAACGCGAGGATGAAAACAAACTTGCTGCTTGAGAATCTAATTATTCCATTATCTAGATATCTAAGAGCGTGGATGAATCTATCTAATGAAGTATTATCAACCATATAATTGCATCTCAATAATGAGATGATCTTGAAAAAAGATATGGTGGTTCTAATGGTCCTCGCATGTATCAGTTAAAGTGTGAGCTGAACACTTTGCGCCAAAAAGGACCTTGTCCTCTGTGTATGCCTAGAAAATGCATACGGAGTATAATTTATACAGTATAAAATCCAGCAGATTAAGCTCTTGATGTAAATTGGAAGACCAAGTGACGAACAAATTCTAAAAACTAGAGATACAAATTCGATTAAGCAAAGTGTGAAGATAAAATTCAAACATTCTGCTCGAATTTGACGATCTAATTTGCCGCCTGCTCCGGCCAAACGCCTCTCTTCTACGCTATCCTTTTGTTTGAAAATTTGTTCGGACAAAAGGCAGAAGATGGAGAGATTGAAATCTGAAAGAAAAAGAGAGGTCGTCAATTTCATCTGTCCTCCTCCTTCACAGTTGTCCTACTCCTGATTTCGAGCTCGCCTTCAACGTCAATTTCCATAGGCATGAGTGGAGACAAAATTGCGACGGTGAAGCCTGGAACAGTGGTGCCGGGTGCCGGGTTCTGGTGTCTAGATGCCAGGAAAATTGCTTCTCCTCTTGGCATGTAGCAACATAAGCAACATTGTTGTAAAATCTACATATTTTTCAAACTTTACAGAGATTTTACAAAATTTTCAAACTCTACATGGACTCTACAAAAAAACTCAACCAAACTCTATATGAATTCTACAAATTTTTCAAATCCACTAATTTTTTGAAATCTAAAAAAATCTAAGAAAATCTTAATTGGATACACCTCCCTTTGAGCTTTAACCCAAGAGCTCTGAAAAATCAAAGAAAAGGTTGGCCTAGAGTAGGGGTGAGCAAGTACCGAACAGATACCGAAATTTCCCGAAAAAACCGAGAATACCGAACCGAAAAAGTACCGAGAAGAAACCGAACCGTACCGAACCGAATGGTCGGTACGGTATTTGGGAACGGTACGAGGTGACGTACCATACCGAAAATCCCGAACCGAACATATATACTAAAATATTATAAAAAATAATACCCCGAAGTAATATTTTTAATATTCCTTCACTAAATAATACGGAGTAATTTTAAAAAAAAAATTGGTTCAAGTTTTATCATGTGTAAGTTATACTTTTATTTGAGTTTTAGTTTTTGTGTATAAACATAAAAGTATTCACAAAGATTCGAAAAACTCTTTGTTGTCGTTCATTTTTTTAGTTTGTGAAATACTCCGTATAAACTATGTTTTGATATGCATCCCTTGCATTTACATATTCATTTTTTTAATTTTTCACGTTTTTTATTTAAATTCACTTTTAATTTTCAAAAATAAAGGGGCATTGTTAAACTTTAAGGTGTAAAGTAGGTATGTATATTCATCCCGATTTGTACCGAAACCGATACCGAACCATCCCGAACCATACCGAACCGATATGTCGGGATCGGGATCGGTACGGTGTAAAGTTTCATACCGAACCGAAATATTTGGTACGGTATCGGTATGGGCTAAATACCGTACCATGCTCACCCTTAGCTTAGAGAATGTGAATTGAACTATAAATATAGATTGATCCACAAAGTGACTGTAAACAATGTGCATTTCTACTTGAGTATTAAGTTTCTATAGTGAAAAATTTATTTCTCCCAAGCCCCGGCCGGATAAAGAATGAATACACAACACTCACAAGGTCAATCATGAAAAATTAGGGATCCGAAACAACATAGAGAAAATGATCCTTGTATCATAATGAAGTAAAGCCTTACAAATTTATAATGAATAATGGTAATAAGAATAATGAATTGTCAAATTTATAGTATTACAAACTTATAATTACATGTCTTACAAATGTTCGCCTAGCTAACTATTGTGCTTAACAATACATAACTATGGAGTATTCTTGATTCAATTTTAACACGAAAAATTATCCAAAGTAATCTCAACTTTATTTGGTCTTTAAAAAATAATCCTACCATTCACTGTGATTCATAGTAATCTTACCTTTACAGCTTTACTGAAATTTGAGAGTTTTGAATCGCCGTTAAATTGGTAACGACGATTTAACAAAAATAGCTTATTGCGCAATAAAAAGAAACTTCGGATTATTTTTTGATGAATTTTCGTATATTTATTTTTTATGAAATTTTCATTCAAAAATTTAAAATTACTTTCTACCTCCAGCTCTTTATCTTTTTTAAATATCAGTTTTACTTTAAAAATAAAAAAATAGATACAAAAAATAACAAAAATGAGAAAAATAACTAAAACAATACAAAATTAATGAATAAATAAGGTAATCAATAAAAACTAACTTGAAACTACTCTCTCTGTCCCAAAAAGTCTTTCATGTTTCATTTTTTGCGCATTCCAAAAAACACTTTTATCCCGCCTTGAATGCCAAAAAACTTTCAAAATAACTTCTACCCACAATAAAGAAGTAATGTTGTAAATTTTAGACATTTTAGATGTCGGTAGAAGTGTTTTATGGGATGCGCAAAAAATGAAACAGAAAAGACTTTTTGGGACGGAGGGAGTAGTAAGAAATCAAATAAATACATATGAAGTGGTGAGTTTTAACATTTTACGCATTATATAGAGTCTTAATGTACTAATTATTTTTTTGAAAGAATAAGTCGGCTTTTAAAATTTTGAATGATTCTAGATTTTCTTTCTTAAAGTTAAGAAGAACTAGTACATTAATACGTTGTATCGTGCGTAAAATATTAAAACCACCACTTTGAATATGATTATTTTATTTCTTATCAATGTAAAGTTACTTTTTATTGATTACCTTATTTATTTTATTAATTTTGTATTGTTTTAGTTATTTTTATCATTTTTTATTTTTTATATCTATTATTTTTAGTTTTTAGAAGTAAGACTAATCTTTAAAAAACAAAAGAAAATGATGGAGGTAGAAAGTAATTTTAAAAATTTAAATAAAAATACAAAAAAATTTTAAAAAAATTAAAAAAATGAAAATTCATCAAAAATAATCCCAACATTCATTTTGTTACGCAAAATAGGAGTTTCCGTTAACCGGACGTTGACAACTTAACGGCGACTCAAAACTCACAAATTTTAGTAAAAATTGGAATTATTATGCATCACAATGAAATATCAGATTATTTTGAAAGATCACGTAAAGTTAGAATTGTTCTAGATAACTTTTCCATTTTAATATTTAATGTTGAAATTCTACATTATTTTTGTTTTTTCCTTTCTTTACCGCTGATGGGAAATAATATGTGGCTCGGCCCACATTTCCCAATTATTTACGAAAAACGGTTAAACCGGGCCTGTTTAATAAAAATAGAGGAATAAGATAATATTCCTCCGTAGATGCTCTCACCCTCTCCTATAAAAAGGAGGGCACCCCCTCAATGTTAAGCGAGGTCATTCTTACATTAATGGCTTCTACGCCTAAATTATGTTCCGTGTATACACCCCCGATATTAATAAAAATCTCTCGTTGGCAAGGTACCGCCAAAAAAGGCCCGTGGTTTTCTCCCGATTTGGGTTTCCACGTCAAAATCCCCGTGTTTATATTTTGGTGTATTTTTAGACTAGTTTATCGTTTTAGCCGGGCTAAAAACGGTATACCGGTCGATAATTTACACCATCATTTTGGCGCCACCCATGGGACCCGAGCAAAAAGCTTCATTTTTTTCGGTCATCTCACAGAGCCTAAAGGGTGAGAAACAAAAAAAAAGAGGAGAAACCTTTGGATACTCCGATCAAGAAAGCATTTCATTTTCTTAAAACTGAAATGGTTGAGAATTGAAAAAGGGGAAGAATAAATCAGTAGAGGAAGATGAAGACTGTCACTATTTTGGAGGGATCTGTGTCTTCGCCATGGAGATCTCACCGCCCGTCGCTGCTCAACCCTACCGCCACCGCTGCTCAAATCCACAGTCGCCGCCGCAGCTCAGATCCGTCGCCTCCGCTGCTACTCAGAGCCGCCGCCGCCGATGCTCAAACCCGTCGACGCCGCTACAAAGATTTGTCGTCATCCCCGCCACTGCCGACACTTGTGCGCCTCCATCACCAGATGGCTGTTTTTTTGGTCCCGCCGCGGCCGAACCCGTGAGCCACCACGCTAGAAAAAATCAAGCCCCGATAGAAGCCAATCATTGCCGCCGACGAAGTAAATCACCGACGCTGCTACAAAGATCTTTCGTCATCCCCGCTACTCTACTACGGGCTAATATCCATAGCCACTGTTCTTAAAAATCTACCGCTGCATGAATCCGTCGGGAAAGTCATCAGCGCCAGCCCCGGATCAGAACCATGGTGTGCCGGTTGTAGAGCAGCGGAGGGTCCCATGCATTGAGATCCAGGTTGGGCATGCAAGCGGTTTTCCTTGGCGGGTCGGGTTACGCTACCGGCAGTGCCTCGAGTAGTAGGGGACAGGCGTTTTCCTCTTCCACGGAATCAGATGAACGGATCCGGATCTTGGAAATCTAGGTGAATCGAAGCACCCCTAATCGCCAATCTAAATCCCCGGTCCACCAATTGCAGAGCACCGTTGGCGCCTCCATTCGCCGTGCGTCATCCACTCCTCGCCGCTCATGCCGTCCTGCCCGCGCCCGCACCCACCGGAGAGCAAAAGTTTGTGGTCTCTATGTTCTGATTAAATCTGCGGCACTGAAAATCTCACTGAAGGATGTTGTACTCCATTCACCTTCCTTTCACGCCATAGAGGAAATGGGTCACTGAAGATTCCATGTGCTATGTTCTTTCCAACAGTGAGATACATAAAGTAAAAGTTGGGAAGAAAGAGCAATCCAATGTTTAGATGGAAGATGGGTTCATTTGCCATGACAACAAAGTAATGACAACGAAGGAAGGCAAATAATTTATGTGGGCTCATTTAGGAAATAATGGAGTACCTAATCTAGAGAGGAGAATGGCATGGGCTACGTGTTTCCTTTTAACTCTATCAAAAAAGCCACTATTTAATGTGGGGACCCCTCTCTAGAGTGATATGGAGTAATGGGAGAATCAATTTTCTCCACTTGCTTTTCGAAGTCGGCACGCCGGTTATTACACTGGTCTTGCTCAATACTTTACAAAGAAAGAAAAGAAGACTGAGACACAAGCCGAGCTTGGTACGCTGGTTACGACACCGGTCTTGCTCAGTATTAAAAAAAAGGAAGACTGAGACACAGGCCCGGCCTGGCACGCTGGTTACTACACCGGTCTCGCTCAGTATAATAAAAAAAATTAAAATATGTGACACAGGCCCCGCCTGGCACGCTGGTAAATATCATTCTTGTGCGCGAGACAGGCCAAGAATGATATACACACCGGTCTTGCACATATTTTCTCGTAAGTCTGACCCCAATCGAATTGGGTACACCGGTGGCTCAGCTGAGCCGTTATCGGGGATGCCCGATTCTTCAAGCCTTTTGAACAAGGCACTCCGGAAGTGGTCTCTGCATAACATGAAGATATTTGCATCAGTTAGCCGGGCTAGCATCGATCTTCGACAAAGTTGCTGCAACATACTTAATTCGTATTAAGTAACATCGATTACTTCGATATACTAATTTCGCTATGTATCGTTTACTTAATCTGTACTGACATCGGTCTCGACGAAATAACTACTTGAAGCACCGCCGCTTCATCGTACTAACTCCGATGTCGTATAACTACTCGAAGCATCGTTGCTTTATCGAACTGACATCGCTCTTGTTACGATAATTATTCACGCGAATTTTAACCACCCTAACACCGAGCTCCTCGGTAAAGATAATAATTATTTGAGCACGACATAGGCTGGTCAAAAAAAATGTTGTACATATTATTTTTGCAGGAAGACCTTCTGATTCAAGAAATTAGAGAATTAATGAAGACTCGGAGGACTAGCAATAATATCTACCAGTCAAGAATTCAAAGTACGAAAACTGAAGATCACACTCGGAGGACTTGTTTACTTTTTTAAGTTGATGATTCTCACAACGGTATACCGGTCGATAATTTACACCATCAACCGCTAAATTGAAAATTAATAAACTCAATATTCTTATTTTGTTTTGCAAAACATACATTGTTGTATTATACCGGTATATGTTTTTATTGGATCACTCAAAGGTTGACTAGATGTCATACGCGACGTCGTATATTAGCAAATCACATTCACGATGCAAAGATGACATTGTATGTTACGGGGTTGACAAAATAGATTGATTCTTGACACTTGATTATATTTTTGATAGTTTACATTTACATCTTTGACATTATTTGTATCACGTTTGTCCGTATATAATTATGCATTATTATATTTGACATTGATTTTTTTATGGATTAGCATGATTTTTTAAACATGAATTTTGGTTCTATTTTAGAGAAAAAAGATATAAAAACTCAATTTTGATAATTTTTTTTATCTTTTACTCATACTTTAGTTTTTCTTTTTTGTTAAAGATTGAAAAATAAAAGATTGAAATTTGTTTAAAAGAAAAAAATTGGAGGAATATCTTTTTACTTTATTAGATAAACAAAAAATAGGATAAATATTTTAGAGAATTAATTCGGCAACGAGGAAGAGTAAATTAATTTGTACTACCAGAGGGAATAAATGGGCAGAATAATCGAGTTGGAGTACTCCGGTGGTAAATTTGACACAGTGATCGGTCGGAGAGGCGATTTGACAGGCGCACTGTGGAAGCTAAGGTAAATTCTTTAATTGCAGAATAATCTTCTGCTTGATGACAATTGTAAAAACGTAAGAAGAAGAGTCTTAGGTTATCCGGCGGCTGTCGTACGCTTTACTTTTCAGCGTCGACGGCCGAGATCTATCTATCCTTTTCAGCGACGACGACGACGGAGGAGGAGTAATCTGACTGACTCCTGCCCGCTGTCAGTTTTCCCCTGTTTGGGTTTCAGTGTTTCACCATCCTTCCTCTGACACGGTCAGCTGCCCGGCGTCTCATCTTTCTCCATTTCGGGCAGCCACTCCGAAAACTTCCACACCTGTACAGGCTGCCCTGACTTGTCTGCATTTATTATGTAGACCCTTTACGCGTTCTTATTCCGCCCGTCAGCCTCCGCTCTGCCCCATACCCGCCGTCGACCGCCGTGTGCGGAGGTGCTTCTCCGCTTCCGGCCAAATTTCACACGCGTGAATCAAAGAATGGGCCAGGGGATGAGTTGCAGGACGGCGGACGAGCACGGGCTGTTCACGGCGGTGCAGTGTGGTGACGTGGAAACGGTGGCGGCGGTTTTAGCCAGAGAACCGGGCCTGGTTCGACACACCACCGTGTATGATCGCCACTCTGCTCTGCACATAGCTGCCGCCAATGGCCAGACAGAGGTAACTTTTCTTTTTCGTTTTCTTTTTTTTTTTACTGAAATTCAAGATGTTTTTTTTTATTAATTTATGCTGAGATTAGTGTTCTTTCTTATGTGCATTTGATGGGTTTTTGTCGGTTCATATTCTCAGGTCGTCAATTTGCTTTTAACCCTATCTGCTAACCCTGATCTGTTGAATCGCTACAAGCAGGTTCTTTTCTGGCTCCATACCCATCACTTATTCCTTCTTTGCTTAAATTTTTTTGTGTGAATTTTCTCTTTTCTTTTTCCCCAATGACTGTTGATTTTGGATGGTTTAGACTCCATTGATGCTTGCTGCAATGCATGGAAAGATCACCTGCGTGCAAAAGCTCATTGAAGCTGGAGCTAATGTGAGCTATCATTTCATTTTTACTATGCTAATTATGTACTTTGGAGGTACAATTTGGAAACATTGTTATGTTGGCTGATCTTGGAAACTTCTTGATTTCGTAGATATTAAAGTTCGATTCACTTCACGGGCGAACGTGCTTGCACTATGCTGCTTACTGTGGCCATTCTGATTGCGTTGAAACAATTCTCTCTACGGCTCGGACATCCCATGTTTCTGTTTCTTGGTTAGCACCTGACTTACTAGGATTATTATATTTGTTCTTTTCTCTTTATGACCTGTTTGGTAAGGATTATTTGGCTGAAATCGATGATTGAATGGTGAATGGAGAAGTGCTTGATTGGTATCCCCAGTTTCAGCCAGAAAAGGGCAGAACTGGTTACCAAACGGAGCCTTTGTCTTTATGGATAGATTTGCTAAGGAGAACTTTTCTAACCTTGTGAGATGAATGAACTATGTGTAGGGGATATGCCAGATTTGTGAATGTTAGAGATGGCAAGGGAGCGACACCTTTGCACTTGGCTTCTCGTCAGAGACGCCCTGTTAATGTTCGTATTTTGTTGAACAATGGAGCTTTGGTTTGTGCATCGACAGGCGGATATGGGTGATTCTTGAAACCTTCTTTTTTTATATACTATTATAATTTTGGTTTATACTTTTTCTTGAGAATTCATGAATTTAAGACTGATATATATAGTGCAACAGTTTTCCAGGCAGCACTCCTCTTCATTTGGCTGCAAGAGGGGGATCTCTTGATTGTGTCCGTGAACTGTTAGCATGGGGTGCAGATCGAATTCAAAGAGACACTTCTGGGTACTTATCTCATGCCTTCTTGTATTTTTTTCACTAGGGGTACATTTGGAATCCAAAAAAATGTCATGGGAAGAACGCAGGGAGAACAATACTCCAAACTAGTTTGAACTCAAATCTCCAAACACAGCCTAGGATTGGCTACATGTTGATTTCTTTTCTTATCAATAATTTTCAACCGTACTCAACCAAAACATTAAGAATGTCAAGTTTTATGATCTATTTGTCATGATGGCATGATGCTCAGTATAATAATGATAATGAAGATACCTCTTCACGATTGAGTATGGATGACATTTACAGGAGAATACCATATATGGTTGCTTTAAGGCATAACCACAGTGCCTGTGCAGCTTTGCTGAACCCTTCATCGGCCGAGCCTATTGTATGGCCTTCGCCTCTCAAGTTCATCAGTGAGCTAAATGATGATGCAAAAGCTTTGTTGGAGCGCGCGCTAATGGATGCAAATAAAGAGAGGGAAAAGAGCATATTAAAGGGGACTTCCTACACACTTCCTTCTCCTTCTCATTCAGAGGCCAACATTGATGATGACAATATTTCAGAGGTAGAATACTTTCTAATGGGGTCTCATTCATTGGTGCTTATTGGATTATTGCTGATAAGCTACTTTTAACTTATAAGTTTCTTGCTTAAGTATTTTTTGGAAAGTGACTTAAATGAGAGACAAGTCACTTTGGGATATTCACAAAAGGTCACGGATAGTTTTATAATTGATCTGGTCAAAACGGAGAAACAAAAAAATTGGCTTAGAAATAAGTAGGCTACTTATTTGTTTGGCTTATACATAGCTTATAAGTCAGCTTTTGAGACTAGAGAAACATGTCATCAACTGACTTATACACAGTTTTGAAGAGCGGAGAAACACCCACTAAATTTCCGTTTACTTAGGGCTCATTTGGCTTCACTTCTCTTTTTGGACAAATTTTGTTCTCCTTTCTCGGCATTAGCTGCTTCTAAAGAATCAATCCAATAATTGCTTAGTTCTAAAAATCGGATTCTGAAAGAAAAATCAGCAATGGATAGTTTTTAGAATTTTTAACAAATGCAACACTAAATCAACTTTAAAAATCAAAGGCAAATGGCTCGTTAGTATGTAACAACAAGCCAGTATAATCCCAATTCATTGGGGTATGGGGCTCAAGATGTACACAGCCTTATCCCTGTAAAATACAGAGAGACTTTTTCTGGTAGACCCTTTGAGGCATTGCTCCATTTATTACCCAAAACTTCATTGAAACTAAGAAGCAAAGGAAGCTTAATGTGCCATTTTGATTTAGCCCTTTATTTACCCAAAGCAGAAGTCTAATTATTTAAGTATATATATGCAGGGGAGTGATACCGAACTATGTTGCATATGTTTTGATCAAGTCTGCACAATTGAGGTACAAGACTGTGGCCACCAGATGTGCGCGCAATGCGTACTCGCTCTGTGCTGTCACAACAAACCGAACCCGACCACGACCATTACCGCTCCACCCGTTTGCCCGTTTTGCCGCAGCAGCATTGAACGGCTGAGCGCCATAAAGGTTCATAATGACACCATTGATTACGCGGGGGCCCACTCTCCTGTGAAAAAAAGCAACAGGAGATCCTGGAATGGCAGTGAGGGCACAGGCGGCGGCAGTAGCAGCTTCAAGGGGTTATCAGCTGTGGGATCTTTTGGCAGAATGACCAACCGTGGCTCGGGTAGGATTTCCGAAGACAAGGGCATTATCGACAATAAGCCATTAACCCTTGATTCATAACCAAACAAGAATTCACTAGCTGCTGGAAGGGGTCCTGCTGTATATCATCAGCAACTGGTACATATACACAGCAACCACTTCAGTTAGCGGTAATTTATTCGCCCGGCTCCCAATATTTACTGTAAATTTCTAGTTATTTTGTGTGAAGAAGGTTGGTGGCGATGTTAGTTACCAGTTATAGATTATTTTATTTTTTTTAAAAAAATATTTACTGATGCTTCCCCCCAAGTCCTTCCTTCCCTCTTCATGAAAAGCAGCATTCTCCCATTGCCTCCCACCTTACCCCATCTTTCTCTTCTGTATTGGTCTTTAGGTTTGAACTGTGAGTTTCATTATTTCCATTTTTTTGTAAGATATGTATTAAAAGGTGCTGTTGCAGACTTGCAGTGGGCATGTAATGTAATGTTATAAACAGTGTAAGTTGCAAATGGAAATAAATGGTTTCTGTTGGTTGTCATGGGAACATGTATTCTCTTCTTGAATGGTTGGTGAAGGAGCTAACCGGAACATGTTTTCGTTTTTAGGACCGAGGATTCGGGGGTGTCTTGGTTATGGTCCCAGGGGTCCTAGCCCGTAGGACCGCTGGCACGATTCATGTAGGAGTCCTAGCCCGTAGGGCCACTGGTACGATTCATGTAGGGGTCCTAGACCCTAGGACTACTGGTACGATTCATGTAGCATGACATGCTTTTTTTCCTTTTTTCGAACTTTACATTTTTGTTATTCAAATTTTATATTTTTGTTAAAATTAAAGAGAAAAAACAGGCAAGTTAATTACTTGGTTCATTTCTAATCTGATTTTAGAACCAATGATTTTGGTTTTGGGGCCAATTTCAAATGAAAATATGTTTTGGACTTTTGTTGATATAAACAATATATTGATGTGATCGAAAACACACACAAGATTCGTCAACACCGCCATAAAACTTTTTTTTTGTTTGGCGTTTAATCTTGCATCATTTCAGCTTAAATAATGCTTAAAGCAGTCAACAATGTGGACATGTAGTTGCGTTAACGTAACATTTACGAGGAAGATACTTCACAAAGTTAGAGTATTATAATCTATTTAGATTTAGATTTTTAAAATTAAAAAATCTACTTAAATAAAACTAAAACGTGAAATGTATACTTCGGCCCTGTTTGGCATCAGCGTAAGAGATTAGCGTTAGAGTTTTAAAAAACTATCTGACGGTAGCCTTTAGCGTTAGCGTTTTCAGAATTAATCTGCACCGTTAAAATTTTATCCAAAACGCTAACGCTAATCGAAAACGCTGTTACCAAACAAAGCCTTCGTGTCAAAATAAAACTTTGGCATTATAAAAAACTCATAATTTGGCATTCTATGTTAGTATTTCTTGTCATCTTATAGCAAGTCGTTAATTCACACTTCCCCGTCCTACAAAGATTTACCCTCTTCATCATTCAAAAATGAGAATTTTTGTTTATTTCTGTGTTTTCATTAATTATTTGATGAAATAAAATATTCGTGTCGCTCTTTTTTGTAGAACTTTTGATAGTACTTTTTAAAAATATAATTTTTATTTCGTATTCCAATACCAATATTTATTTAGAATGAATCGAAAAAAACTTAAAACTTTTACTTAATTTTTCGTAAAGTATAATTCATTTAGGGATGAAGGGGTGAGATTTTTGGTATACAAACATTATTGCCAGTTCTACAAATAGTTCTACAAATATTGCTTTGGAAAGGTGGGAGGATTTTTTACACTTCATTTAAAAAAAGAATTAAAAAAAAGAAACTTAATCAAATAGGGAAGTTAGTTTTAGGGCACACGAGTACTCGACAATAATGACCAATCGTTAAAATACACCAGACCCTAAAAAGAATGATTTCTTTATTTATAATCACGTACTTTTTCGGTGTCAATATCTCTCTTGCCAACATTATTATTTGTAGCTATCCAAGATTCAAACACCTATATCATACTAAAAACAAGTTGTAAGAGTCACACACAACATACTAAATCAAGAGGAAGAAACTCCTTTGACATCACAAGTTTTGAGGACAATGTCCTCAATGGGTAGTTTGTCTGCCGGGAAAGTGCACTCCGCAGTGCCTTTTCCTTGCAACAAACTGCAAGGCTCAGGAGTGACATTGTTCGAGACACCCTCGACATCCGTGCAATTCCACTGGAGCTTCTTCGGGTGAGGGCTCAGAGTCATCGAGATGTTCGAGAGGCAGAACCCGGTGAACCGGTCGGTGGGGAAACCGTCGAACGACCCCGACATGTTCACATTCTTGGCCACCACGTCTATGAAGTTGATGTTGTCGATCTTCGCGAGCGCCTTCGGGTCAAACCCGTCGTCCGGGTGGGTCTTGTACTTTCCAGACACCCAGAAGACGTACGCCATGTTGTCCAGCTTCATGTCTTTGACGAATATGTCCTTCACGTAGCCTCCTCTCCCCGGGGCCGTCTTGATCCGGACGGCCGACTCGGTGTCGACAGCGGTGACGTCCTCGATCCGGATGTCCTCGAGCCCGCCCGACATTTCGCTTCCCAAGGCGATGGCGGCGCTCTTGGGGGAAATGCACGTCAGCCTTCTCACGATGAGCTGTTTTGTCGGCATTCCGTATTTTATTCCGTACTGGTCCCACCCGCTCTTTATGGCAATGCAATCATCTCCCGATACTATGTAGCAATCTTCTACCTTTGTGTTTGTGCACGAGTCTACAGGAAAACATATTTATAAAACATGAAATATATAAATAAATAAATAATACTTCCTCCATCGTTCTGAAACATCTTTTCTTATTGACTTTTGTAAAATTTAAGGAACAGATATTTTTGTATTAACTTTTGTATGATATTTAATCTGGACATACCTGGGTTGATGCCATCTGTGTTAGGAATTTCAACTGGGGCAATAATTGTTACACCTTGGACCAACACATTACTGCATTTTGCCAAAAAAAAACAAATTATTATGTTAGATAATGACAATTAAGAGGATAAATTAAGGTAACATTAGATAAATTAAATAATATAAGCATAACCTGCAATAAACAGGGTGGACATTCCACATGGGAGAGTTAATGAGAGTAATGTTTGTGATTTGGAGATCAGTAGTGTGCATAATCTCAATCATTAGTGGTCGGGTCGCCTTTAGTTTTTTCTCGTCAAATTTGTCCCACCAAATTTTGCCTTGCCCGTCGATCGTCCCGTTATTACCTAATCATCATTAAAATTCATAACCCTTTTACATTAATTCAAATTTTGTTTAATGATGAACAATTTAAGAAACAAAATATCCTGTCTCATTAATTATACGCATGAAGAAATTAAATTACCACGTGACAATCTAATATATACCCATTGATAGAAAATGACATTAACTAATTGAATAAATATCCGAAAATATTCTTCACATTTGACTTTTCTTAGTCAAAGTTTATAAACTTTGACTCCGATTTGTAGAAAAAGTACATCGTATTATGATATAAATTTAATATCAATATATTCTTAACAAAATGTAGTTTTGTAATATCAAATTTTTATAAAAGATATTTATGTATAAATATAGATATTAATGGTCAAAGTGCAACATTGAAGACCGTGAAAAGTCAAATGGAGAAAATGTTTCCGGACGGAGGGAGTAATTAATTACCGGTAATTACTACATCAGTAAGGTTTGATCCAGTGATGAGACTAGAAAACCTCCCATCAGGTAAATCCTTTTCTCTTCCAAAGGATGGCAATGGATCAGTTAGAGGATAGTCTGCCTCGTTCTGTACATATATATATGTAACATTTTATTAATTTATAAAACAAATTAAAAAAGGCCTCATATAAATATTTTAATAAGGTAAGATTCACCTTGTGACAAAAAGGGTTACCTCAGAGGCAAGAAGAGTTGCGTCCTTATGGAGAAAGAGTGTGAAATGGCTAGTGAGACTAAAGCTACCAGTCAACCATTTTCCGGGTGGCACGATAAGCTCGGCCCCGCCATCGTCAGCGTATCCGCTAAGGTTGGCGATGGCGGCCTGGAACGCCTTTGTGTTTAGGGTTTTCCCGTCTCCCACGCCTCCGAAATCCGTCAAAACCGCAACGTGTTTTCGGCAATTTATGGCCTTATACGTCCCCACATTTCCCTTATTAGCTCCGTCCTTTACAATTTTGGCGATTTCGGCACCTTGTGCACATACCATGAAGGCCAATGCCCCTAAAAACTTCACACACAAACCCCGTGCAAAACAAATCTCAGGATATGCATGATAGAATTTGAAGAAAAAAATAAATCTGAATGTACAATAATTACAAACTTAAATTAGTTGATCGATTTTCTGTATTATGTGACAGAAATAATGAAAGAAGAATGATTTTGATTAATGAACACATGCATACGTACGAGTAAATGAAATCGACCGGGTTCTTGTCGGAGGATAAACATTGTTCTTTTTCTTGAAGGTGGAAGATTATATTGAAGACATGCACATTTGTGTTCTTGTGTATATTTATATGAAAATGTTGATAGATTCCTTGATGGGATAAATTTAGAAAACTATTTTGTGATTGAAATTAAAGGTTTTCCTTGCTTTTAGGGATGCATTAATAAAATTGCTTGTTTTGCGAGTTTTACGTCATTAATGCCTGATCAAAACCTCGATAATTAATAATCAATTTATCTCTTTTCTTTTGAAAAACACCAAAAGTCACCAATTTAATTAAACTTTAAGAAAAGAATGTGGAGAATTTTACGCTACTTCCATGTTGGGAGCAAACTATCTAACATGGCAAGAAAAGAAATAAAGTAATCAAAATAAAAAGACTCAAAACACTTTATTTCGTTTAAGGTGCATTAAGAAAGAAATATTTGCACTTAATAACACTAAAACTTAAGTCATTTCTCTAAATAAAACTTAAATTGTTTTATTCTCTAAATAATACTTAATAATGTCTATAATGACCAGTGATGACAAACATTTACTTGAATAATAACTAAGAAATAATGACTAAAAGTGCTACATTGGAAAAAAAACATATGTAGTGCTATTTAGGGAAAATCATTATGTTTTAGTGCTATTTACGTAAATTTCTCATTTAGAAATGTCCAAAAACAAATTTTTGAAGGTTTGACTTTACACGGATATTAAGAAAAGTTTAAAAGTGTAAGACTTTCTATGTTTGCTCTTGATGTGATGGAATTAACTTAATAGTGCAGATAAAAAGTGGAGGTATAATGGTAAATTCAAATAAAAATAGAAATCACCATAAATAGGACTAAAACATACTCCCTCCGTTTGGAAAAAGCCTTCCCACTTTGACTATAAGACAAAATAAGGAAGTGTAAAATTATAGTTGACTTCCAATTTTGCCCCTGATGTGATGGGTAAAAGTAAGATGTGATGGATTTATTATTAGAGAAAAAGTATGATGTGATAGGTAGGGTATGAAAAAGTAAGGGTAAAAGTAGTTTTTTAATAGAAAGAGGAAGTGTTTTGTTGGAAGTAAAAAAAATGAAAGAGAAAGTGTTTTTGAGAACGGATGGAGTAGAAAAATATTAAAATAGGAATTTTATGTTTTTATTCTCTAAATAAGAGTTTGCACTGTGGTAATGTGGCAATGTATATGTGCATTTTACGTAGTGTAAATAGTCATGATTAGTAATGTTAATGCATTTTAACTCCTATTTCGGAAATAAAAAGATGAAACTCCTCTTTTGGTATATTTTTAATATTTTACTCATACTTTAGTCTTTTTACCTTGAAAAATTTTGCCAAAATAGGAAACAAAAAATAAATTTTTGGATGACTTAAAAAGGAAAGTGAGAAAGAAATTAATGAACGAATGGTGTATTATACTATGGAGTAATATAGAGTTAATGCATTGCGTGTACTAAATACAAGAATATTTTTTAAAGAACGGGAAAAAATTCTTTCTTATTTTTTTTAAAATTCTTTTCTAATTGTTTCCAGGTTTTACTCAGAATAAAAATTGTTTTTCTATACAAGAATATTTTTTAAAGGGCGATTTTCTCATATATTGAGGAGAAAATATCACAAAGGATCTGTTCGTGGAATAAGAAGTTGCTCACTAGGGCAGGTAAAGAGATTCTTCTCAAAACAGTGGCTCAAGCTATGCCTATTTTTACTATGAGTGTTTTCCTCATTTCCGGATTCCCTTTGCAAAACTTTAGAGCGCATGTTGAATCGCTACTGGTGGGGTCTTGGGGAGTCAGGAAGCAGGGGTATTCATTGGCTGGGGTGGGATCGACTTTGTGTACCGAAGAAGTATGGCGGACTAGGCTTTAAAAACTTCCGTGCTTTCAATCTTGCTATGTTAGGCAAACAGAGTTGGCGTTTCCTCACTAAGCCTAAATCCCTGGTGGCTAGAGTCTACAAAGCACGGTACTTTCCTAGGTCTTCTTTCATTTATGCAAAAGTTGGTAGTTGCCCTAGCTTTTGTTGGAGAAGTATTATGGCCTCTCATGAGCTTGTTTGCAGTGGGATAGGACGCCGAATAGGTGACGGGGCAAGCACACTCGTTTGGGGTCATCCTTGGTTGCCTGATAATGGTCATCCGATGATTTGTTCCTTTATGCCGGACCATCTTTGCGGTACTACAGTTAATTGCTTGATAGACCCAGCCTCGGGTGATTGGGACCTTCACCTATTATGGGATTTGTTCTCGGCAGATGAGGTTAATCGCATTTTGCGTATCCCCATTAGTCCGAACTATGAAGATGATTGGGTTTGGCGTGAAGACCCGAAGGGATGCTATTCGGTTAAAAGTGGATACAGAACTCTAATGGGAGAAGAAAGTGCCTACTCATTGGGCTTCACTGCTTGGTCCAGGTTTTGGAGCTTGAAAGTTCTCCCTAAATGGAGGTCCTTTATCTGGAGAGCCGCTAGGGATGTTCTTCCTACCACCACCAATCTTTGTGCTAGGAAAGTTATTGTGGATCCTTTATGTTCTATTTGCGGTGTGTATGTGGTGACTGTCACGCATTCCCTTGTCACTTGTGTTTATGCTAGGCAGGTGTGGAGAGAATCTGGATTGTCATTGCATAATGGGTCAGGAGTGGATTTCCCACAGTGGTTACAATCGGTGCTGAGCGCATTAAACCATGAGGAAGTAGAGCTGGCTATTGGGGTTATGCACGAGATTTGGGAGGCACGAAATTCAGTAGTCTGGGAGAAGAAATTACCAACCCCTCGAGTCACTTGCACCTTGGCGCGGGTCAAATTGGCAGCTTGGAAGTCAGCCCAAGTCCCTTCTCTTCTCCTTGATAATCGTCAGCAGTCGGATGAAACTTCGCTCAGTTGCTTCCCTACCTGCTATGTTGATGCCAGCTTCTCACATGCTTCTGGTTCAGGTACGTTTGGTGCTGTACTCTACTCTCATAATGGAGCTTTCTTGGGGGCTGTGAATGGACCCCTCTCCCGCTGCTTGTGTCCGTTATTGGCAGAGACGATGGCTGCTAAAGAGGTGCTCATTTGGTTAAAGTCTCGCGGGGTGACGTCTGTTCGGGTGCTTTCTGATTGTGCAACCTTATGTCACAACATGGCAAATCCTTGTATGGAAGAGCGTTCTTATATTGGCATCACTAGTTCGGACTGCAGGAAACTTAAACAAGGATATAATAATTGTTCCTTCAGTTTTATTCCTCGATCGTCTAATTTTTGTGCTCATTCTCTGGCTGCTGCTGCCTATGGGCAAACTTCTATTGTGTATTGGGATTCTTCCCCTCCTGACTTTGTACCTCTTCAAATTTAATATAGTTTGCTTGTTTTCAAAAAAAAAATCTACTATCCACCTAGAAGAACATAGTCTAATAGTACATCTTTAAAAAGAAATAAGAAAAGAAGAAAGAGAATCCATTTACTTTTGGGTTTTAACGTCTTCGTGTTCATCTTAAATAATTTACTCTGAGGATATGATTCTCTTATTGGATCTGTTATACTAGCCCAAATTTGACGACCCCTTTTGACAGCCCAGCCCACGAATCGTTTTCTCCAACAGCCCACCTCATAGTCCAATATGGGACGTTTAATAATACTCCATGAAAGAATTATTTTATTGGAATGACGGGTAAAATTCATAGTTTTTATGGTGTGTTCGGTTCGACGTAAAATATTTTTCAGAAAAATTTTAATTTTTTTTCATGTGTTTGGTGAAATTAGTGGAAGAAAAATATTTTACGTCCAAACAATGGATTATATGATTGAAGAATAATTTTCCTTTGGAAAATATTCTTCAAAGAAAATATTTTACCCCCAACCAAACACAACCTTAAATTTATTTATTTACAAATTGGTATAAAAATAAAAAAATATCTCTTTGTTCTAATTTATAGTATTCGTTTCGGTTTATGATATTTGACTGAATTTATTTTTAATTCATCATCTATGAAAACTGGTGTAGAAACCAAAAATTGAATTAAAATTACATCTAAAGCTTTATAAAACAAGAGGTGGCATGATTATTATTTATCAAATGAGTAATGAAAAATATATAATGAAAGTGAACAAAATGTGACCTTATAAATAGTTAATATACAATTGAAATCAAATATTAAAGCATTGAGCCATGCTATATTAACCACATTCTAACCCCAATTTTGACCACATTTGTTTCACAGACGTTACACACACGGAACAGTGAAGTTAATGTGGTCAAAAATGGGGTTGATATAGTTTTTTTTCTAAAAAAATACCTATAATTCTCTATTGGATAAGAGTTGACAAAAATATTTTATCTTATCAAATTATTAATTAACTATACAACTGCTCACTTGCTCGGAAAGTATTCTGATTGTTGAGGCGCTAAATTCCATATTTTATCCTCATTTCTTATGTTATTTTTATACGTCTATTGCATATTTTTACCTGTTTTTGCAAATTTTCTATATTTGTACATTTTAGGCACCGAACTATCTTTAAACACTTAAATGAGTGTTTAAATGAGTGTTTTTAACTATCTTTTGCACTATTAATTAACTCTTGTACTTAAATGAGTGTTTTTAACTATCTTTTGCACTATTAATTAACTCTTGTGCTTTGGGTTTTTAAATTCATTACACAATTATTTAGATCTTCAGTTGTTGAAATGAGCTTTTTAATCTTTATATTTCTTAATTAAATATAGCCCAAGCCCACACTAGAAAGAGGAGTATTGAACAAGCTTGGTATTGTTTTACGGGTGGGGTTCCCTGACATTCCAATGTCATGGGATGACCCGGGGCCGCTCCGGTGCCCCGTTCGTAAAATTGACGGTTTTACTTAGCTGTTTTGTAATCACATTAGTTACAGGGGAGTTTACGTAAATAGCACTAAAACATAATGACTTTCCGTAAATAGCATCACATGTGTTTTTTTTCCCAACGTAGCACTTTTAGTCATTATCCATTAGTCATTATTCAAGTAAATGTTCGCTATCACTGGACATTATGAACATTATTAAGTGCTATTTAGAGAATAAAATAGTTTAAGTGCTATTTAGACAATTTACCTTTGTTATAATTTGAATGGGAAATACCTATGTATGGATTTTTGGAAATACCTCAAAATATCTCTATTTTTACCTTTCACTTTTAGTTGATCTAGTTTCTCAATCTGTTAACTTAGTTTTCTTTACCTTTTCTTTTATTCTTGCTTTTTTTCAAGTCAATAAAACCACCCTGTGTATGTCAATTTTGTGACCAATTTAACTAAATGGACAATTTACTCTGCTTAAGGAAGAATGGCCCTACTTGCCACTATGTTACACTTTTAATTTAGTGTACCTACATACTAATTTGTCAGGTTACTGTCAGGTTCACGAGAGGCCTCAATACCAATACTGGCTTGTTGGGGTACCACATCTTTTCGTGAAGAGTTACTGAAAGTTGAGCATTCAAATACTGACGTACTTTTCCAACCATGTGTGAATAGTTGCTCGAAGTTGAGTATTCGAATACTAATTATAGCATTGTAGTTCATCATTTTTTCGGGGTAGCTTTTTAATTACTCTGTACCATTCCTAGAGTCTTATAAGTTTTCCATAAGACAATACCTAACAAAATAAGAAAGGGAGATGAATATAGTGACTTCTTTGAATGGTTTTCGAAAAGTTACATCTAAAATGAAATATTCAAATGCTTAAATTAAGTATTCGAAGTTGCCTATTCTAATACTAATCTTAGCATGTGAACTAGCGTGTACTTCACACCTTGCAAGTTGTAACTCGTATCAATGCCCATTATGATTTCACTATCTTATCTCTAAACAAATCGCAATCACCCAAAATAGTCGAATGACACTAATAAACTCACCAAGATATGTGCCACTTAACTATCTAATTAATTGTGAAAGTAGTGCATGTAGAATAGGTGGAATAATATGATATAATAAGAGATCAGAATAATGTGAAGAAAACACCAATGTTTAACCACAAGTATTAAAGCATGAAATGAAAATGGAACACCCTAGCTAGAAGAAGCCTAGCCTTCTCATCACCACACACACACACACACACACACACACACACACATCATGTTCAGGCTCGAAAATAATGCTCTCCCCATTCCCTCAACTTAGGCGGGGGAGGGGCAATGTGACCATTTGTGAAGAGTGAATTTGGCTCTTCAATATGATCATCATCTTGCCTATAAACATCACAATCATATTCATCTGGCACGTAATTAATCGCTGGGAAACGAACTCGGCTGCGGTGGCTTCTGATCTTAAACTGCCTGCAGTTTGCTCTCCTTTCCACAGCTAGAAAATGGGCAAGTGGCGCCGACGAGGAAGGTCGTCGTACTATGGAAGCCTCAGAGGCATCGGTGCGGCTTACCGTGGGGCACAACGAGAATGAGAAACACTTCCTCCACTGCAGCTGGCTCTTCTTTACCACTGCAGCTACTACTACTTGAGCTTCTTCTTCTTCTTCTTCTTCATTTCTTGATCTTCCTCTTCTTCTTGATGATGATGATGATGATGATGATGAGATGTTCGCCATTTGTGGAACCCCAATTGGGCTTCCCATTGTATCATTTATGAATAATGATGACGACAATCGCATCGACTGCGACAACAGAAGATATCAATCGTCAAAGTGTTGCTTTGCTTTATAGACCGTGAAAGATCGAATGAGAAATAAAAAACAACAAAGTGGAGAGATGGAGTGTATGTATATTTGAAGAATGGGACAGGAGACCTGAGTGTCCAATGCTGAAGAAGAGGAAAGTGTGGAGGAAGGAGCAGGTGAGTAAGTGAGCAAAGTGGTACTACTGTTGAATGATAATGTTGAAGATGACCCTGCCGACAAGTACTGATCTCTGTTTCTCACCACCCCTGCCCTTAAACTCAAGGGCTGCAGTCCCAGAGGCCACCCTTCCTCCTGCATTTTCTTGTTTAATTTGTACAAACCAGAAATGGACATATACATATATATATATATATATATATGATCAATTGATTCATCAATATGTTCAAGATAGAAAATATATATATACTTGATGAGCAGTTAAAAAGGCACTCTTAATAAGAAACAAGGGGGAATTGAATCGAGTCAAAGAAAGAAAAAGGGTTACATGGAACAAAGGGCTGCATGCTGGCCCATGCAGGAAGTCATGTGGAGAAGCTGTTGCTTTATTAGCTCCATTATATTGATGTGGAACATGAAACACGAGAATAATTATCATTTTTTTTAGGGAAAAAAGTGAAATAAAGCAGACATACATTAATTGAAGCTTCTAAGTGTTTTATACCGAGTAGATGTTTGCTAATTGTTGTAAAATTGACAATTTCTACCAAACTCCCCCGTAAATTTCCTATTGATTATTCCCATGTTTATAAATGTCTCATTTTGTAACATCGTTAGAGGTGAGTTAGCATTTTAAGTATCAACGAAAGCGTTTAGTGTTAGCAATTTTAAAATTAATCTACATATCATTAAAATTTTATCTAATGCTAATTACAACAATATCACCCAAGTGCTTTAAAGGCTCCTGCCTTATGCGGGGTAAGAAGGCCTGACCCCTTTGTTTAAGAATTGATGGACTCCTTTTGGATGACTCACGAAGAGTTTTGAAATTCATATTGACTAATTGTTACTTCCCTATTGAAAGGGGTACAAACAATTTAATGAATTATCTATATGATAGAAGCATTTCTATTGGGAATCATTTTAGGTCTAATTCTAATTACCTTAAAGCCCTGTTTGGTACACGGAATTCAAACTATGGAATTAGAATTGAGGACTCCAATTCCAATTCTTGTGTTTGGTAGCACAAAAATTATGTGAATTTGGAGTTGGTAGTGCAAAAAATGAATTGGAATTGATGAATTCAATTCTATGGAATTGAATCCCATGGAATTTCAGTTCCAATTCAATTCTAATTCCATTAATTTCATATACCAAACGGATCCTAATTGGCTTATTCGTAACAACATATTTACAGTACAGACGTGGTCACCAGTTAGATTTTTGATGAATTTAAAGAACGCAAAGTTATAAATCAAAATATTCCTATAGATATCCAATCTGAATCGAACACAAATAAATTGCACCCGCCATCTGATTAATGAAATAAAACTAGTCTATTTCTATTAAAAAATTAAAAAAATTAGAATTGATCAGGCGACACCCATATTTGAACCTGGGAAAAAAGGATTTGTAGTCCTTCGCCTTACCACTCGGCCATATCGCTAAAAAGAAAAATAAACTGAGTTTCCTATTGGAAGGCACTTCTTAAAAACCCCTAGTTCATTCCATTTTTTGTATGGATTTTAGCCAGCCTTTCAATTGCCTTTAAGGTTCGTTTGGTATACGGAATTGATGGAATTGTAATTGAATTGTAATTGAAATTCTATGTGATTTAATTCCAAAAAATTGAATTCACCAATTCCAATTCATTTTTTGCACTGTCAATTTCAAATCCACATAATTTTTGTACTACCAAACACAAGAATTGGAATTGAGGAATTGGAATTGAAGTCCTCAATTCCAATTCCATTGTTTGAATTCCGTGTACCAAACGGAGCCTTAGCAAAAATAAATAATCATTAATCCACATTTCTTTCACTTTCTCATTAGGAAAGCTTTATCATCTACTCCCTCCGTCCCTAAATAGATTACAATTTTTTTACTCTCTCTTCTCGATAACTTTTGTTTGTTTACGCGATTTAATTAAGTATTTGATAAAATAAAATATTTTTGTCACCTCTTGTTGTGTAGAACTTTTGACGCAGTTTTTTAATATGTAATTTTTATATCTTATTGATATACAATTTGTAAATAAAATGATTTCAAAAAGTAGGATATTTTACTCCGTAACCCGCAATTTGTAATCAAATTAGGGACGGAGGAAGTAGTTTTTTTGGCCATTCTTCTATTCACCAGTTCGCTTTATTCCATCATTTTGTAAAGTAAAAATTAGTGAGTCTTTTTTTTAAGGCAACACAAACTTCATTAATGAATTAAAAGATGAGAAACAAAGTTTGGGGGATGATCAAAACCACGAGCATGGCTGAGAGCTCGCTCTACGTGCAAGCGTATGAGCAATACAATTAGTTTCCCGAGGAACATGAGATATCTTAAATGAATAAAACTCCCCTAAAATAGTCTTAAAATCCTCCAATAAAGATCCTAGGTAAGAGCAAACCTGGGAACTTCCATCTCGAAGTGATTCCACTACTCTACTACAATCAGATAGGAGCTCCACGTTTTGGATTCCATTTTCCTTCACCCAAATAAGTGCCTCTCGACAAGCCATTGCCTCTGCCAACCCCGGGTCAGGAACACACTGTATCCATCCATTCACACCCGCATGAAAGGATCCAACCCCATTTAGGATAACACTTCCAAAAGATACCACCCCGGAAGAAGGAAAAAATGGATGCATCCGCAAAACATCGAAAAATATATTACCCTGAACCTGAGCTATTATGCCTCACCTCAAAAGAGAATGTACAAGTAAACAAAAGAGAAAAAAACCATTCAGGACTCTCCCTAAAAATTAAAAATGTATTGGATTGGTACCCAATTGGCCAATTTGACCCCAACGGATTTAAGGATGGTGATAGTCATACCTGCTAAAACACTAAATATACCCAGAATATATTATTATGTTATTATAAAAAAAGTTATGTAACTTTATTATGTTATTATAAAAAAAGTTATGTAACTTTATTATGTTAAAAGAAGTTATATATATATACACACACACACACAACTATATTTCTTCAGATTGTTTATTTTAGAAATAAAAATTATATTTTACTAAGCTTCTTTATTAGTCTAATTTTAGAAATTTACCTGATCCCGTGCAATGCATGCGTGAAATACTAGTTCTTACTAAAGAAAGTGAGTATTTTTTGCTCTATTTATCTTGAATTCCCTAAAAATTGCACGGATTCTCTTTAAAAAATTGCACTAATTGTTCTTGAATATTACTCCTCCGTCCCAAAAAATATTACCCATTTTGAATAGTATTTGGTCAAACAGTTACACGCTTTGAATACAAATTATGAGAAAAATATATTCAATTATAATATAAATTTAATATAATTGGATTTATCTTAGGATCTAGTTTTGATATATCAAATTTTTATAATATTTCTTTATTTAGATTATATTTAAATTATGGTCAAAGCGTGTAACTGTTTGACCAAAAGTATATCAAAATGGGTAATGTTTTGTGGGACGGAGGGAGTAAAAAACAGTGCATCAATGGCCTTTCTGGGCTAGATTTTAGAGTTCATCAATAACATACCAATCATTATGATTGTTGGAGCTTAATGAAGATGTCATGAATTAATAAAGAGGTTGATCAATTGATGAAGAGCTTGATCGACTATTATATGCCCGAACCTTAAGTTCGGTTACCGACAACTAAAGAGTGAATAATTATCTAAAGTTTTAGGAGGTCAAAATTATATGTAGTGGAAGATAAATATTTGGGAATGACATACTACAAAATTTAAGTGTGATATATGACTTTAGATGAACTCATATCTGCATTAAATTAGACGAGCTAGTGACTAATACACTCTCAAATCTGGTGCGGAGAAATTATTGATTCAACATTTTTAAGTATTCAGGAACGATTCATACAATTTTAAAAGTACAGGGTAAATTTGTGTAATTTTTAGAAATTTTAGAGATAAATAGCGCAAAAAGATCTTCAATAAATTATTCGTATTCGTTATTGTTTGGTAGTATTCGAATTTGACTTTGATTCGAATATTTTGTAACATTCGATTTGCTTATTGTTGTTGTTATAATTATTATAATTATAATTATATATTTTTTTGAACAATTATAATTACTATTGTTGTTGTTATTGTTATTATTATTAAATACTGGAATAGAATCGAATACGCCTTCATTAGAATTCATATTCGTTAAGGATTCGAATACTCATTTGGATTTGGATTCATACTCGAGTTCAAAATAATCAAATACTTCATCCGTTTCTCAAAACGGTTCCTGTTTTGACTTTGGAGAAAAATAAGGAAAGTGTAATTTTAGTTGACTTTCCAATTTTGCCCCTGATGTGATGGATAAAAATAAGATGTGATAGTTTAGTTATTAGTGAAAAAGTATGATGTGATAGGTAGGATATGAAAAAGTAGGGTTTAAAGTGGTTTTTTAATAGAAAAGGAAAGTGTTTTAAGAAAAACAAAAAAAATGAAAGAAGGAGGGTTTAAAAAAATGGAGGGAGTATGAATCACCAAAATCAAATACAAATCACGTAACAAACAATTTTTTTTTGCTTCGCATACAAGTGATTCAACCCTACTTTGTAGAGTTCGAGTCCAAATTTTCTAAATGAACATTAAGAAATTAGAATCTTTTGTGGTTGAGTAGTCGTGTACGTGACTTTCCCTTGAAGTCAACAATTCTGAAAAATAGCTATTTATGAATAAATTGAAATACTGATGTTCTGAATCTCATATAACGACTAAGAGGAGTTAAGCACGTAGAGTTATTACTTCACTGGAAATCAAACTATTGACCTTCCATATGACAGAGTCATTATTATAGTATTATACGGTTGGACCACAAAGTCTTAGGCAATAAAATAGAGCCACCATGGGGGTTGATCTTCACTACCACCAAAGTTAATTTTTTTAATTCTACTGATTATAATGACGTTTAAAATTCTTTTGTTTTTTGCCATTTTCCGTAACAAAATTAGCTTCCCCAAAATGCCACTGTTTGGATGTAGTTGTGTAACTTGTGTTTTTCCATTCCCAATTTTTTCTACTCTCTGTTCTGATGTTGGTTGCAAATTTTTCTCTTATCTATCGATAATTTTTATTTATTTGTATATTTTTGTTGATTATTTTATAAAATAAATTTTTTTTGTCATATCTCATTTTGTAGAACTTTTGATGTAATTTTTAAATATATATATTTTTATTATTGATATATTAATTTGTAAACAAAATGATTTCAAAACTTACGGAAAATCTTATTGATTCAGAAAAATTGTAATAAAAATTCAGACTGAAAATCTAATTTATTCAGAAAAGCAAGTAATGTCTTACGGCAGGACCGCAGGTGCAGAATGTCAATCACAAACGTGTCAAATTACAACATTTAATTTGCTTTTCAAATAAATTGACAATAATGTTTCACGTGTTGGGCGGAAAAATTGGTTGAAAACTACTCCGTATTAAATAATACTCTCTCCCTCCCATTTTAATTACAAACTTTTTTTTCTCTTCATCGATAACTTCTATTTATTTATCGATTTTTTATTAATTATTTGATAAAATAAAATATTTTTATCACATCTTATTTTGTAGAACTTTTGATTTAATTTTTTAATATATAATTTTTTTATTAATGTAACAATTTGTAAATAAAATGATTTTAAAAGATATGTCATTTTACCTCGTAAACCCAATTTGTTATCAAATTTAGGACCAAGAAAGTAATAACTCTGCGTCATAAAATAATTTCTCTTTATTTTTTCAAATTTTTGATAATTTTGTCTTTTTATTGTTCGTTTGAATTTTTTTTACCAATATGTAAATAAAATGATTTCAAAAATCGTGAAATTTTACCTCATAATTCCCATTTTTTAATCAAAACAGGAACAAAGGAAGTAGTTCATACTCATTTCTTTTTTCATTGAATTGGTTTTAAAAGTTCATTCAGTAAACTCGTGTTCTCTTTAGCTAATTTGAATGATTCTGATCTAATTAGAATAAGTTTTGATCTGATCTAGTCTGATGTAAACTGATTTTAAAAAAGTAATAATAAGTAATAATAATAAGTTGAAGAGAACATGATTATATTTCTAAATAATTTGTTTTTTAAAAAAGCAACACATTTCATATATAACCAATTTTTTAAGGTAAAACTAGCTTTTTTATCATATACTCCCTCTGTCCCATAAAACCTTTCTCCTTTCTTTTTTCATCCGTCCCATAAAACACTTCTCATTTCTATTAAAAAGTCATTTTTACCCTTTACTTTTTCATACCCTACCTATCACATCATACCTTTTTACTAATAATCTACCTATCAAATCCTACTTTTACCCATCACATCAAAGAACATTTTTGGAAATTCAATACCAAAATACACTCCCTTAAATTTCTTCAAAAAGCAAAACATTCCCTGTTTCATGGGACGGAGGGAGTATTTAAGAATAATGTGATTGTCTAATATATCGAAGTGGAAAGCAAACGTGCAACAAAGTGCGGCACTTCCCTTTTGAATAGCAAACTAAGTATTTTAAAAATTATATTCATAGACTTAAGGGTCATAACATAACCATATATGCATGACTAAGCAGTTCCACAAGTGAGGAACACAAAGGTGTACTGTCAAATTTAAATGGGTTAAACATGTGTTGGTTGTCTAGCCACGCTCTCTCTCGTGTTTGATCGCTTTGCATAACCAATTGCATAGTTTTTGTAACAAATTGTTTAGAAGCTCATGTGGACTTATTCATGCCAATTCAAAAGCTGATACGTGTTAATCGGATTTTCGACGATTTTGTTTTAATTAACAATTGTGAATTAGGGAAAGTGATTAAGGCGTATAATTTATTAATAAAGGATAAAAATTATTAATTAATACGTTTGGTTAGACTATGAACCATAAATGCAAAAATCCAATAAGAAAATTTGGTCAAAGTGTGTTTTTTATAATGTTTGTATTATTCAATTTAATAAGACTAAAGAGCCGAAGTCAATGATACTCCTAATAAACAAACACTCCCCACGTACAACTTCATAAAAACTGAGTAATAGCTTGCCAAAGTACAAAAATTAAACATGTACCCGGAGTATGTCATGTCCTTATCCTCTCACTACTTCTTTCATTTCATATCTTTTTTTTATATTTTAATTTTTACGATCCACTTATTTTTTAATTTTGACCATGAATTATATATATATATATATATATATATATATATATATATATATATATATATATATATATATATATATATATATATCTATATATATATATATATATATATATATATAATNGATTTTTTTACTCAAAGAGGCTAGTTGCTTTGAAAAGCATGAAAAGTCAAATTATAAGAAAGGTAGTGTACATGGGTACTCATTGTGAAATAACGTATTATTATTAAGGGCAGATAACGAAAGAAAAAAATATGAATAGCATATTCATTTTTTTGTCTTGTCCCTTCTTATTTTGTAAAACTCAAATTTTTACCTATTTTTTAAATATGTAAGCTTTATTTTTTAGTACTATATCAATTTTTAAATAAAAAAACTTTGAAAATTTTGATTAGTTTTTCATAGTTTGACAATTTTTTTTATAGGAGGGAGTAGACGAACTAAACACCGATCAACTAATACCTACCAAATATAAGTGCTGCTGCTGGTACTGTACATGTTATTGCTTCCATAAAACTGAATGGGCCTCGATGAACCCTAAAAATTAAACCTAGCTACCCACCGGTGTTATTACTCTCATTCACTACTAAACTTCTCGATCATTATATTCAGATATAGTTAGCAGTTAGAGTAGGTGTGATATATGTATAAATGGTACGTACACGTAGTACAAACATATGGATATGGTAATGTTATACCGTTGGTGATGAATACGCGCACACACACACGAAATCAAATGAGAATGCATATGATCCATTAAATTTAAGATCTAAGTGCTAGTAAAAATAAAAGATTCTGAAAAAACTCCCGATATATATATATATATATATATATATATATATATATATATATATATATATATATATATATATATATATATATTGGGAGTTGATATTGGCACTCCACATATGTTACCTACACTCCACATCTTTACTTTCTTTGTATAAGTTGACAACTTTGCCCTTTGTAACTGGTAAATATTGGTAAATCCTCATTGATGCACTTCTAGCTCACGCCACTCAATTATTTTGTAACTGTAAATTCTCAATGTAAATTCTTAAGCACGCTCACGGCCAATAATATTTTAAAAATATTATATATAAATAATATAAAATTATAATATTAATTTTTCATATTCTTTTAGACTGAATGTAAAAATAATATCATTATTTTGTAAAACAATTAATAGAAGATAAAAAATATTAAAAACAGAAAAAAAGGTTTGAAAAAGTGAAGCAAATTATTTTGATAAAAAACAAGAAATTTTAAAAACATACTCCATCCATCCCAAAGTTATCGTCTTACTTTGGTTTTTGTAGTAACTTTGACCATAAATTTTTAAAAATATATTTTTACATATAATGTAAATATGATATAATTCAGTTCATTTTAAAATCTAGTTTTTGTTCATCAAATTTTTATCTTAATTATTAATTTAAAAATATATTTTATTTATGTTCAAAGTAATCACTAAATAAGTCAAACAAGAGTAATAACAATAGTAGGAGCAGTACTCCGTAATACTCCCTCCGTTTCACAAAAAAACTTTCCATTTTAACTTTTAAAAGATTTAAGGTGGGTGTATTTTAGTATTGACTTTTCAAAAATGCCCTTTGATGTGATGGATAAAGTAGAATGTGATGCGTAGACTAATAGAGAAAAGGTATGATGTGATAGGTAAGTTAAGAATTATTAGGGGTAAAAGTGACTTTTTAATAGAAAAAGGGAAGAGTTTTTGGGACGGAGGGAGTATGTATTTAGGGCAAGGTTCCCATGACATTGGTTCCCAATGTCATGGGATGACGCGGAGGCACTCCGGTGCCCTGTTCGTAAAATTGACGGTTCTTACCCCCGGTAAACCCCCCACCCCACCCCGACCCGAACACACCCCCCACCCCCTTCAATTGTACTCCACAAGTTGATTTTGACTTTGAAGTCAAATTTTGACTCCAAAGTCAAAATCAACTTGTGAGGTGCAATTGAAGGGGGTGGGGGTGTGTTCGGGGCGGGGCGGGGCGGGGGGTTTACCTGAGGAGTTAGGAGGGGTAGGAACCGTCAATTTTATGAACGGGGCACCGGAGCACCCCCGGGTCATCCCATGACATTGGTTTCCAATGTAATGGGAACCAAGGGGATGTATTTATACTCTTTTCAATATTTTCCAACACTTTCAAACACTTGCCAATTTGTTTTTTTAATACATCTTTCATTTTTTCCATCTTCTTTATTTTTTGGTTTATGCCAAAATCTAATTTTTTTTTTCAATTCATTCTAGTTTTTTCAAATGTATTTCAATTTTCTTCAATTCAACACACATCTAATTTTATTTATCTTATTACAAACATAAAGCCTTATACTCCGTATATCTAAATTATTTTTGAAATGATGCAATAATGATAGATATAGCAGCTTAAAATATTTTTTTTTACAATCAATAGTAACCCATAAAATTGTGCCATAGGATTCACTTCACGTGTTCCAACCTTCTTTGTGTGTTTTATTCTTTATGTTCTATTTTTTTACAAAACGATAACACTAGAGTATTATTTTTATATTCAATCTCGCAAATATATATGAAAATTAACATTATATGTTATTGTATATTATTATATATTTTTTATTTTTTTATTTTTATAGTGTATTGTTTTAATATTATTTTTATATTATATTTTTATAACATTATTGGTGGTGAGTATGCTTAAGAATTTATAATTTAAAATATACCAAATTTTTACCGAATTTAAAAATATGGGGCTCTAAAATTTTAAGGGCCTTGTGCGGTTGGCCACTTTACATGTCCTTCAGGCCACCCATGGAAAAAGAAAATGGGAAGAATATTTCTGGATGGACTAAAAAAGCAAAATAAGAAGAATATTTCTGGTAATTTTTATATGAAAAGTACTGGTTTCTCCTTTAGTTACCTTAAAGAATTTTATTTGAAAAGTCTGACTCTAATCATGTGACCAACACAATTATTTACACCCTCCATCTCATGAAGTCTTTTACGTTTCAAAAAAAACATGTTTCTAAAAGTCTGTCTCATTTCTATTAAAAAACCACTTTTACCATTTACTTTTTCATACCCTACGTATCACATCATACCTTTTTCCTAATAATCTATGCATCACACCTTACTTTACCCGTCACATTTTTGAAAAGTCAACACAAAAGTATCCCTTTTTATTTTATCACTTTAGTCAAATCGTCTCTATCTTTATGGGACGGAGGGAGTATTATTTTTAAATGATTTGAGTGAAGTTTTTTTTTAAACTCGGGTCTCGATTCTACTCATAAATATATAGTTGCAAATCTTTCGTCGAGGTGAAAGACAAGATTTTGGTGGGGATTATGTGGGAAGGAACAAACGATATCTAAGAAGGAAGATTTATATGGTGATAGATAGTCAAAGTGAGTGCTTGGTTGGAGACAGGTGAAGAGGGCGTTTTCAAACTCATTGTTTTATTTGGAAACATAGTATTAACATTTACTCTAACAATTTATTAATACAGATTTTAAGTGCATAAATTACCAAGTTAATACTCATTTTGACTCTTGAACGTGCACCGACGAGTCAATTTGGTTCCTCTATGTTGCGTCGAATCAAATTAGTTTCTATAGCTAAAAAACATGAATCAAATTAGTCTCTTTGATAGAATTTATTTTAACTAAACACAACATACAATGACCAAATTGGCTCACCAATGTTCTTGTAGAGGCCAAAGTGAGCATTAACTCTTAAATCATCATTTCACCCCACCTTCAAAAGCCAAAAACATGTAGCCAGCTTAAATTTCCTTTTGTCACTTATTAAACAACTTATATATATAGTTTAGCCCAAACTAAAATTTTCCCTTTACTATTTAAGAGAAATATGCCTTTTACTTGCATAATAACTTATATATCTCACAAAAGCAAAAACAGGAACATATTTTTTTTTGAAAACACTCCTGCAGTATTAATCATCTCAATAAACTAGATTCTCTAAATTTTGAACACACAAATGCTATAAATAATTGATTTTACTTGCCCCACCCACCCTTTAAAAATCTATAGTTAGAAACTTCTTCTCTGTCCGATCGGGTCTGAGGAGACCCTCGATGATAAAGCTCATCCTCTTTCTATAGTTAAAAATTTCCTTTCAGTGACCGTCCTATCGGGTCTAAAGAAGCCTTTAGAGATGTAGCTTATCCTTTTTCTGTGGTTAGAAACTTGATAAAAGATTGGGTTAACTATAGACTAGGCACTACTTGGTCTAGCACTCATCTTCGATCCGGGTTTCTAGCATCCACTCACTGATCTTTCACCATTTTAATCTAATGGCTCAGAATCATCCATCATCAATTGTCTTCCATTCATGATCCACTTTGTGGCCGACAAAATTACCATGGCTACCCTTCCTTCAACATCCTCTGCAACTTGTTCTGCATAGGCCTTGTACTGTTTTTGCCCACTAAGAATCACTTGTGTTTATTGTGCTTAAAGATGTTTGAAAACAATGAGGAACAAAGCTTCTGTCTTCTAGAGGAAGTCTTTTATTAGAGAAAGATTTTGATTTTCTATGACAGCACATTTGGTAGGACTTCAGATTAATAATGCAGCTGCATTTACACCTTTACAATCCCCCCCTCATCTACACTGCACAACAATGTCAACTCCCTGTTTCCAGAGCTGCTTTCCTTGTCATGCTTGCCGAGGCGACACGACGGGGAAGAAAAGAAAAAGAAAAAAAAAAGAACAAGGGCAAAAATGGTAGTTTTTCTTCTCAAATCTCTACATCACATTATTCCTAGTTATACACATGATCTCCATATTCTCCCTTCAAGTGAAATAACGATGATGGAGACATCGTCGTGGTACTTCCGTCTATCCCCTTGAGGGATTTCGAGCAATTCATGGAACTCCAAACCTGGAACACGCGAACAAAAGTTTTAATTTTTTTTTCTTTCGAGATAAAACGATCTTTTCGTAATATTTTTCTTCTTCCAAACAAGGCATTGTTTGTTACCTGCTTTCTTTGCCGCGCGAAACAACACCTTCTCAACAAGATGCTGAGCGGGATCTCCTTCCGGAGACCACGCAATGAAATGCTCAACTTCCATAACCGCTTCTTCGTTCGTGAAGTACTGATACAGTCCATCTGATGACAATATCAAGAACCTGTCTCTTCCTCCCAATCTGTGATGGTATAGCGATGGAACGCAGTTTATGTATGGCGACGTCCCAACATAGTGAATCCTGAACATCTCTAAAAGTGCATTGTTCCATTTCGGCTGCACGAAAAAAGAAAAAAAAAGATCTTTATTTTTTCCAACAAATTCGAAAAAAAGAACACCTTATTCAAAGTAAACACAGAAGATATGTTTGAATCTAAAGCAAATCCAAGTCAAAAGTGAATGGATTTACTATCTTTAAAGTTCATAATGGGTTCAAATTGCACCGTCTGCAGATAAAGATGCAAGAATTCTTAGATTCTAAATGCTCCCCACCACTTTCCAGGAAGAATAATCCTCTATAAATGTATGTTGACAACCAGTCTCCATTGCTGAGTGTGCTTCCAAAAGTGGAAAGAAACTATCTGTTTCCTAGATAATGTTTGAATTTGTTCTCAACTAAGAAGAATATCAATACCCTTTTTTTAAAAAGAAAATATATGTTCTCTTGAAAATATCCACTAAAAAGAGTTGACTTGGTAGCAAGATGGAAGAAGCTATAAGGCTCATATTCTGTTGTGTACCTGTTTGAGAAAACCCGCGCCAAAAGCTCGGGTTACCTTTAACGAGCCTTTCACCCGGCCATTCACAACAGCGGAAGCATCATCTTGGTGCTCCTTTCTAATTCTTTCAACTTCCTAATAACATATTACAAAAAGAAATTAACTAATGAGTTGATAATTAATTAATCAAGTGATCAAATAAATGGAGTAAGCAGATATCTTCTTTACCTCTGCCACTGAGGTGCTGTGATCAGTGGTGAGCTGAAAGGCAATTAAACTCGAAACAAGATCCAACCCTTCATCCCCGTCCAACCCTTCAAGATCGTGCAGTGTTTCTTCTTTGATTCTTTCCAAATCTTGGCTCCAAAGATCAGGCTCCTTCTTCTGAGCCAACACTGCCCGGCTGTCCCCAACGTTCATCACATAAACATCCTCCCCTTTCATCAGCATTACCATCACACAAGAACCCATCAAAGCTAGTTCGGGATTTTCCACGAGCATCTTATCTGCAAGATCTAAATACGCCTCCTCCGTCTTCTTCAATGCTTGAGACAGAGCTGTGAGCACATCACCGTGGTTAATTTCCCCGGAAACGTGAGACCCGTTCCGGTTAAACTGTTCCTTTAACCTCCTGTCAAGCTCCAGCCTTTCCCTGTCCCATTCGCACCGCCATTTCCTCTGGTTCTCCTCCCATTTCTTGGCAGCTCCACCCCTGTATCTGTTCTTTCCCCTTCTTTTCCTAAACTTAGGATCGGAATTGGAATCTTCCCTTGTGGAAGGATACACCTCTTGCTCAACACATTTAGAGCAATCATCATTTGTTCTATCTCTCAAGACTTCATCTTTTACGGTTCGACTCCACTGTTCGGGTTTTGGATATGAAGGCTGAAAATTGAGACAGAGATGATCGGCATTGGCGATTCTTGATTCAAAATTATCATCCCATAGCAGTCCCTTGAGCTCTCTATGAACGGCTGGGTATAAATTGGAGACCAAATAATCAGGAGCATCCGGACCGTTGAATCCATCATAAATCCCCACAAAAGCCCACCCGTGTTCTTCGGAAACCACCACGTGAACCCGGTCTTCGCCGGCTTTTCCCTGAGCCCATTGGAGATTTTGGCCTCCGTCGTCATCTAAGCTGCACTCGCTGCTGATGGTTAACTCGTTCTGCTTCTCCGACCCGACAACCCAATCGGGTTCTGTGATCGGAACCGACCCTTTGATCGGGGCGACGATTGAATTCTGGCCCCGGCTTATGGTTTTCGAGATGGCTTGTTGGATGACCCGAATCAATTTCCGCTTCCTCGACCGGGATCGGAGCGCAAACCCTCCTCCTCCTCCATAAGAGAAGCTCCGCCGGAACTGATCGGAAGAGCCCTTCTCGAGCGGGCCGGAGAAGATGCCCCGATCGAGGGGTCCCGACAAGAACCCCCTCTCAATTGGGCCGGACATGAATCCGCCGGAGGCAAGAAGCGGGCCGGAGTGAACAGAGCTTCTGGGTATAGGCTGGAGAGGGATGGAAGCGAAGGAGGTGGAGCTCTCGAAGGTAGAAGACCGATCGATGATGTTGTACGAGTACACGTCGACGAACGCCGTGGAGAGCGGCGTGGAGGTGTTGGCACTGACGGAGGCGCCGGAAATAGAGCGGAACGGCGCCGTCGTCTCCTCCGAGTGGACCTTGGAGGTGGAGAGACGCGCCACGTCTGGAACGTAGCAGAAAGAGTGGCCCAGGTCGTCCAAAGGGTCGGACATCACCGCTTGGAAATTCCTCCGCCGCCGCGCTTCGATGGCGTCGCCGCCGCCCGTGAAGCAGACGCTCAGTTTACCCACACCGTTGCCCATATTAAGTACGAAAAAGAAAAGGGTACCCCTCCGATTCAGTCAGTGGCTCATAATAATAATAATAATAACATCTCTGGGAAATGGTGATCGAAGAAGAAGAAGAAGAAGAAACAGAGAGGAAAGGGGGGATTTGATTTGATGATGAATTGATGAGAATAATGGGAGAGAGAGAGCGTTGACTTTAGAGTGGGGAGAGGTGTGTTTTCTTTAATAAACATTAAATGCACAGTATCCACTTTTTGACACATAATTTTAGATCAATTTTTTTTCTAGCAATTATTCCCCCCTTTTTTTTCTGCTTCCCATTTTCTGTTCTTTGGACTATTTGGTTCCGAACCGTTGACCCCAAACTTCACACCACTTGGCGCGGTAGTAAATGTTAACGCTCGCCAGGTTTTTTTTCAAAATATTTTTTTTGTTTTATTATTTTAAAAAAAGTCTAAGGCTCCCTTTCATAAACCCGATCAAAAGTCTAAAATACTTGCAGAAAGAAATAAATCTAAGACAGAGAGGATGGTTGGAATTGATCAAAGATCATGACTGCTACATTGACTATGATCCTGGCAAGGCTAACGTGATAGCCTACACACTAAGAGCATGTTTTCTAAAATTATTTTACAGAGTAATGTATTATTCTCTTTCCAATTCTTTTTGTTATAAATTGTTATTATTATCATTATCATCATATTATCTTAATGAATTCCTTTCAGATAAAAAAAAGTATTGTTATTTTTCATACACAAAAAAACACTTTTTCAAAAAACAAATAATATAAATTTAGCATAAATATCAAAATGTTAACTTTTAAAAAGTTATTGTGGTTACTTTGTATCTCGATTTATTTATGCAGTGTTTATTATAAAATAATGTAATATATTTGTAATTATACTTATATATTACAAGATTTTATTTTAAATATCAGACATGTCACATAATATAATCAAACCTATTTTTTCTTTCATGATTGACATTTTATTTTAATTGTAGCTCCTATTTATGGAATATAGACATAGAACTTTTTTGTATATGTTTTATGTTTTACTCTTATTTTAGCCTTTTTCTCTAAACTATTTTGACTTTCAATTTTTTTATTAAAATTGGAAAAATAAAAATATTAAATTTTGAAATAATTAAAAATAAAAAAAATTGAGTAATAAAGGAAAAGGTGAGAAGTATTATAAAAAGTTAGATTAATAAAAAAATCTATGTAACTATTTTATTCATAATTTTTTAATATAGTTTAAAATACTGATGTTTTCCTATTTTACCATGTAAATTAATATACAAAAAATTTGTCTTATTCATATTAAAAAGTTGAAGAAAAAATAAGGAATGCGAAGCATAGAAAATAGTGAATTAAAAAAATAATTTATAAACTATAGTTATGAACATAATAGTTATGATAATAATCATAATCACATTAAAAAAATATCATTTTTATATTAATTGGTTGGGGAGTAGAAAAAGTTTGAAGAAAATGAGAATAGTTGTTAGAAACTAGAAGAAACTGAAAATTAAGAGTTTAAGCCCTAAAGAACATACTCTAAGTCAGAAATTGGTGGCTAAAGTACGACTCCAACCAACTCTAGAAAGAAAAATTCATGTTGCACAAAAATATGATAATTACTTCCAGAAAACCAGTGAGCTTGTCTCTAAAGGGGAGTGACAAGACTTCACTGCCCACAATGAAGTTTTGTTCTATCGAAATCGCTTGGTAGTGCCCAGTTGAGAAGTGACAGAACGCCTAATGCATGAATCTCACAAAATCACGTATATCATGTATCCAGGTAGCAACAAATTATTCCAAGATTTGAAGAAGATGTGTTGATGGCCTACAATGAAACGGAAAATTTCTAAATTCACTACGCGATGTATGAACATTCAACAAGTTAAAGCTGAACATCAAATGCCAAGTGGACTGTTGCAGCCGCCTACCATTCTGAATGGAAGTGAGAACGGATTACATTGGTCTTTGTGATAGGACTTCCTTTAATAGTTATTGAAGAAGTTAACAAAGCTGTGCATTCGTGAATTGTGAGATTACACGGAGTACCTTTGTTTATCATTTCTGATCATGACCTACAATTTACATCATAGTTCTGGAAAAGTCTACAGAAAGCACTAGCTACTAAACTTAACTTTAGTACGACATTTCATCCTTAGAAAGATGGACAGTCTGAGAGGATGATCCAAATTCTGGAAGATATGATGAGAGCATGTAGTATCAACTTTGAAAATAATTGGGAACAATACCTACCATAAATGAAGTTTGCTTATAACAATAGTTATCAAACTAGCATCCAAATGGCTCCGTACGAAGCACTATATGGAAGGCGCTATAGAACCCTAGTCCATTGGACAAAATTAAGCGAGTAAAAACTTGAAGGACCTGATCTAGTTTGAGAGGCCGAAGAAAAATTTCACTTGATCAAAGAAAAATTGCAAGTGACTTCTAATGGATAGAAATCCTTTGCTAACCTAAAATGTCAAAGATTGCAAGTGAATACTTGAAAGTTTCACAATGGAAGAAGGTATAACATTTGGAAGGAAGATAAAATGAGCCCAATCAAGGTATATTGGTGTAACACCCTAATCCGTCCAGGTTTACAACCCCTTCCGAACTAAAGTATTAACTTGGTAATCGTATAATTTAAAACATTTCAAATAACTTTATTCATCATAAATGAAATTACAAACATAATTGTAGTAAATACGGAGTGTTTATTGCGGAAGCGATTTTTAAACATGGTTCATAATAACAGAATCATTTATTTTCTTAATAAATACACCACGACTGTCTCGCCCCTTCCGCTGCCAAGAACATGCCATTCACTCATTCTGTCTACCTGCGTGTAGCAAATAAAACATACTACACGCTCAGCGATGAAGCTGAGTAAGCATATCTAAAGCGTCGAACATCCAAATAAATTGAATCTCAATTCATAATCAACCATTTGATATCATGCACACAATATATGATTCAAACATTCATGATATTCTCAATATTTTATTCCAAGTCATTCGATATTCAATATCTCAACCATGCTCTTAAATTATTCTTAATCTAAGGCCAAATCATTTTATAACAAGCTCTTAGCTATTCCTAGTCTAAGGCAACATTT